CTTAAATAAATATGAAAAACTCGGAATTTGTTATGCATTTTTGTAAGCAAGCAAATGTTACCATTTCCATATCTGTTATTAATGTGTTTTTTCTTGAATAATCAGCCATTCCGAACTATCGAGATTCAGTTGTTGCTATTTGTCAAAAAAACGGTCACGAAAACCATAAAGAAAAGAATTTTTATCTTTCTTTAAGATTAATCACTGATTTAGTCCGGTTATTCATCCCACAAATAGCCTTGCATCGTTACATAAATTGATATTAGCATTTCATTCACTTAGATGTTGATCAGTTTTCTGCAAACTGAATTTATTACTTAATAATATAATACATTTAAACAAGAACTAGAAATGAATGTCTGACCAAAAGTATATATAATATAATTAAAATTTTTAGCGTGAACGGTTTTTTGTATAAATTTGATTGTATTTTACTTGAGCAACTTAAGATTATTCTTACATGTGCCTCTGAAGGGTTATATTAATTGACTATTTCACTTGTGAATCGAGCAATCTAATCTGCACAAGTAACAAGATGTTTTACTGGTGGAATGATGAGACGTCTATGCACGACGACGAATAAACAAGTCCTCAGCCACTAATGCATAGCCCAAGCCTTGTACTCAACAACGGAGTGGTGTCGATAAATCGTTCACGTAAACATATCCAACCGCCTATCACTCACACACTACAACTCCAAGAAATATTGTAGATGAACAACAAGCGCTTCTCTTTCACTCGCTTTGAACTAATGGAGAGAGGATATGCTGAGGTAACATTAAAAGATGAACTAATAACACTTCTATCTGAAGTTTGTGCTGATGATGTCGTTCAGAAGGACGATAAAAGCTCCACGACCAAACCATACAGCTCAGAGAACAAAACTCCACCAAAATCATCCACCTGAGCTACAAATCTTCTCCACCATCTCAACACTGATAGTAAATTTTAGTAATGGGATTTTCCCTTTAGTGATGAGGTTTATGCAAATGTTACCATATTCTGATAATGTTTCCCTATTTAAGCTTGAATTTGTGAGAATGGATCGTTGATTTTTATACTACACATCGATTAAACTGAACAAATCAAATGATATCATTGATTTAAATGACAAACATATCACTACTTTATCTCCGGAGAAAGGACTGATATTATTCATTATCCGTTGATTGAACTGAGATGCTTATATGAAAGATTCAATAACGAAGAAAATAGGTATGTATTTTCATTCTGTATTACATCTTCAAATATTTATTTATTCCTTATAAAGAAACACCCCTAGTTTTATGTGACTTCAAATATCACGTGAATAAATATGAGAACGAACTGGTTATATCCATTGGTTTTTTAGTTTATAACCAAAATTTATACCGGATTTATCCTGCATGAAACATAAACATGATTATAGTGACTTCATTTAACCACTGTTCATACATAACAATGAAATATAAAAAATAAACTGGATAAATAGGATGTGATAAGATACAGAATGAATTCGATCACAAACTTACTTAGATGTAGCCACTATTCGGAATGATTAACATGTTTTGGTTGAGATCAATTAAATTTTATTTATAGTTGATTATTCGAAGTTACGTTATAATGAAATTCTATTCATATGAATCAAAATAATTTCGACTTTTTGACGTATAAATTCATTCCCAATGAATGAATGGCATTTGGAAGCTACCGGCTGATAAAATCATAAAACAATAGAGCTTTTCCCATTAGTGACATGAAATGGAGAAAATTAAATGTGTATCAGAATACTTATAGTCATACACAGCATAGAACCTAACAAATAAGTAGATCGGTTCAAGTTGTCATACATCATTAGCACAGTGCGACAGATTTAAAGAAGCCGAAGTTGAAATAACATTACTAGTAGTAGGAAAAATCGGTGAGACTATAATTTATGGACGACCTTTGACTGATCTTGAGTATGTCCACCTAATAACTAGGACCAAATCAAGGTTATAAACCAATGTGAGGAATTAGAATTATGATTTATAGTTGATGGTTAGGGTTAGGAATTAGATTTGATGTCTTTATCACGAACTGACATACCAATACCAAAACGGTATTTTGCCAAATAGATGAATGAATTTTGCGCCAAAATCCGAGACCTGTTATGTTATATCTGATTGGTTAGTTCGTAAATTATAAGTCCGCCTAAAACTCATGTATAAAACAGAGAAAAAAGGATAACGAAATTTCGGGACCCAGTTTATGAATCTTTTTGCACCAATACAGTCGATTTTACGTTATGTCATCGAGCGGAGCCCAATCACACAGTTTGCGTTTATTAACATTTCTCAGTTTAGTTATCAATGACTGTATGCACTGGTGCTACCCCATGATCTGACCATCCCTAGCATCTTTCCAAATTACTCTTAAACCAGGGATGCATTCAAAAAGCATATTCGCTAAATAAATGTTCAAATTGATTGCAAATTATTTCAAGATTAGTGGTAACCATATATTTGACCACTAAAAGTCATATGATTCGGATAATACAAATTTATACCGCAGACTGGTGGATTGACTAATACGATATGATATTATGTAACCTAACAATTCCACTAACAGTAGTAATGAAAAAAACGAGACTAAAAGAAGAATGATTTATGGTGTAGACAGAATGCAACATAGTCTGACAAAATAGTTCTCTTGTACAAAATGATTACATTGGTATTCGATATTCTTACAAAACGGATGGTCACTTTCGCTCATACTGTCAAACCAGAGAAGTGAAACACGCAATGAAAGCAAATAACGGACAGCGTTTGAAAATTATCTATCATAAAATTACCTTGTCTCAAAATTGTGTTATAGGAATAATTTAAAAGCTTCAAGTCCTTGCATGAGTTTCCGAGAAAAAAATTCCAAGTATTTCTGAACTAAGATCTTATAGCGCAAGTGAAATGGTAACGCGGATACTAATGGAATGACATATCAGTAGAGTAAAATCCCCATGTATTGGTGAGTTATGAAGAGATACGATTAAAAAAATAGTTCACAACGTGGTGAAAGTTTCTTAAAATTCTAAATCTGTCATTAGAAATGGTACATAAAAGCAGATTTCGAAGATAAGATTGATAAAATATTCTGAATTAAGTCAAATAAATTCACTTTTTAGAGACAGAATACAATTGAACGCATTCGGAAGACTTGGTTCAAGTAACGCGTAAGATATCATTGATATATAATAAGAGTGGTAGTCTAAGTGTGATAAAATGATTTCTCATTTATAAACTAATGAGATTGAGGCGACAAATTACCAAAAAAATAGGACAACTAAGAAGTTAAATATTTAGGCAGCAATTGATATAGGATTCAATACTTTCATTACGAAAGTAAGGAAATCGCAAGCAACCTAAAAAATAAACTAAATATCTCAACATTTGGTACTCAATGCAATAAGCTTTGATTTCTTTTGGTACATAATGTGACGAATAATTAAAGTATCACTATAACTGTTACACCATGAGTTTCAAATTGACTATAAATATTTGCAAACGAGAATAGAGTTCAAAAACTTGCATATCCAATAGTTTGACTGTAGTATCGTACATTAGTATACGACATCACTTTGGAAACATGTCCATTATTGAATGGTTTCAAACGCAAATTACTCATCATATCACAATTGGTTAGTTGACAAACCTCTTCAGGTGTCAAAAATCGTATTACAAACCGTGTAACTTGAAGATATTCTATGTGTTGGTAAATAAGTTCATCAACGCTTATAAATCCCTCGTTAAATGAGAAAACTGAGAATTGGAAGAGCATAGATATTTTATTGCTTTCGATAATGCAGAAAAGAAAAGAAAAACAAATGAATGGAGAAAACATTTTAATATTATACGTAGTGTTTATATGTCGTTAAAACCTACAAAATGCATTCAAAATACGCCATAATTCCAACAATCTTTCTACTTGTTTCCCGTCAATGTTAGTAAAATGAGCATAATAACATTCTTGTATAACAATAATGAAATGAAATTATTGTTTAAGAATTCACTTCAACATAGGACAATTTTCAAAAAAAGATAAAGTACGTAAAGGCGCATTTCGGTTCGGATGAAAAATGTTACAGTGAAAATAAGCATATAGAGTGAGTATCAGCAATCTTTTCAGCAGTAAAATATAAAAGAAATCACATGGTTATGCTATAACTTATATACGCATAATTTCATCGAAAGTAAATATTAAGAAGAGAATAGAGGATGTAAAAACTTTGTGTAAATTCAACATAAAAGAGTATATATATATAAGTTAAAGGAGACGCCGCTACTGAAACCTAATTCACTATTAACAAAATATATTAAGAAGTCGACAGTTATCGAGGAAATAGAGCAATTTATGTATTGGACCAACACAATACTATTTAAACGAAATAAAAATAAAATGAAGAGCAACTATTAGTACTTCGCATGGAGTGAATAAGAAAAGCATTTCATTCATAGAGGTAAAAAACCATAGACTGAGATATAAAGAATAGGAGAGAAGTCACAACAGCGAAAAATACAGGCGGAAGAGAATAAGGAGAGAGAACTGAATTTATATGAAAGTAATGAGAACAAAAATGGAAAGTATTAAAAGGCAAAAACAGTAATAATAATCTTGGGAAAAGAAAACGAAAGTGTAAATATGTTGATTTCCAAACATATATCATATTCAGAGAAACAGCACATATGAAAAATAAACAAGGTGTAAAGGATATAAAATAACTATATTTTGGGCTAAATAAAAGAATTGAACTGCTAATTGGATAAACTATATAAATGATAATAATAACAGTAGGAATGAACAGTTAGCTGTTACATACTCATGATGACACAAACAATCAAAATTTCAAACTGCATAGTCCTGGCTACGAATATGGATATTAATTTCTTTGATAGGTGTATTCACGTAAAGTGCATAAATATATGTTAAAAAATCACTTCAAAGAAGAACATATGTAAGAAAACGAGAAACTCAGATCACTGGTCCATTCAGAACAATTTGATCACAGTTTTCAAAGTGTTATGCTCATCATCCACACATTCCTCATCATCAACATTATCCATTTCAAAAATCTTAATTTGATCATCCGATACTGTTGAATCCGATTTAACCTGACTGATGTCTTTTGTATCATGTTGTTCATCGTTATCGTAATAAATATTTGAACTGAAATTGGAATTATTTTCTTCAATTGACTGTATGTCTTGATCTTGAAGTACTAGGTGACTGCTGGATTTACTAGTTCCAAACATTCCATTAATAATCACAGTTTCAGCTGGGCTGGAATCAAAGAACATATTCGAATTACCAATTGGACTACATGCACATTCTGTAGCTGGGATTTTTAGTATTTCATGTGATTCAAGTTGACTAGATTTTGATTGCTCTGACTGAATACAAGGCAATGGATCAATAGTGAAGGATAATGACTGTCTAGGATTCGACAACCGTGAACTTGTTAAACCAAACGAAGAACAATCATCAATAATTTCACTCTCCAATTGACTCTATATAAAATAATTAGTACGCAAAACATAAGTACTAAAGCGGGTTACACAGAAAATATGACACCACTAATCATAATCGTTTTCTGCATGTAAGAAATAACATGTACTTTAATTATGAAAATAAAAAGATAGTTGTTTATTATGTTTATGACTATAATTATAAACGGTGAGCAACAGAAATTTCTTAAGTATCCTGTAAAAACTAAATATTATGAGGTAACGGCAAAACATCTAGTAGATGTTTTGAAATGCTAATTTTGAAGTTCAAGCACTTGAGTGCGTTGTATGCCTAAACCCTACTAAACCTAGTTACTTTTAGGAAGTTAAACAGTAGTAGTGTTGTGCATGCACGTCTGTCTACAAAAGTAGTATGCAACACGAATCGAAAGTGGAATGCCTGGCAGCAAACGGTTGAGAAGATCGAAGTGAAGAGATCGAGAAATGAAGTAACAACAAAGTCCGAAACAATTGATGCACATTTTGCTAATGAAGTACTGAACGTATGGTAATCATATTTTAGCAATTAGCTCTGTAGCTTTGTATCCAAATACATTTGGTTGTTTCCACTTGTGTTGCCATTCATTATAGTAATAGGAGTAGTAGACATCAAATAACAAAATCATAACTTAAAATCCAGGTATATTGTTCTGTACCTGGTAATTAGTAAGAGTAGATTATGCATATTACTTAGACAGCAATCATCCTCAAATATCGGAAACTCTATCCTCTAATAGAATTAAGATAGTTTACAATAACACGGATGAACTTCGAAAGTAGAAACTAATGAGAACAGGTACAAAAATAACTGACCGGATCCAGAGTAGGAAAGAACGGATTAAGACAGTCTATTCTTAGTTTTTTGATACTTCTGCTTAATTAACCTTATTTCAGAATCCCAGGAATCATCCAATATCATACATTTGAATCATGTAAGTATAAGTCTACAAGATTAACACTGAAAATATATGGTATTATAAACACAAATTTAAACGGAATCACGTAAGTATGATACTGATGAGCAATTTAAGACGTTAGTTGAAACAGAACACCTCTGATAAATGTTTGACCAACTTACTAATCAATTATGTGACGCAATGAACATCAGAATGTACAACAGAAGAAAGTAGTAACAGCCGAAATCTTTATTGAGAAAAGTACCAGAAAATCGAATAATTCTACCTTAATTTATTTAGTAAATGAGTAACTGTATGTAACTAGTCAATTATAACTAATACATGAATATTCATCAATCAGGAACCCAGTGAAAAAAATATACCACCAAATCATTCATTGTGCACTAGTAAACTTAAATGATATGTTGGATGATGAGCGTTAGCATCTAAGCCAGAGGTTTCATGTTAAAAAGCAACATTTCCCCACTAAATAATACAAATTACCAAAGGTATTTAATTAACTGATATTATAATGCATAAATAGCGGTATTCGCATCACTTAGTTAAGTAATCATGGTAAATCCATTGATCGACAAAATTGGATATGAAATACGAACAAAATTATTAAATTGTTTAGCAATATACGTAAACCGTGAAAATAACTCACTTGAGTATCGCCACTACCAGCCGTAGTTGCTGATATTGTTAATAATTCTGGTATAGCTAAAGGTAAACGCAATGGACGAGTAACAGTTGGATTGCTGATGTCATTTATAATGTCTTGTTCCTGTGTAGTTATATTAAGCAAATTATCAACTAATTCAGAATGATGTACACTGCTTGACATGGATAGGATATCTTCAGTCTCGTCTAAATCATCTGTTGTAGCTGCATCTTCAGTGCCATATAAACTAGGTGTTGGTGTACCGCCTGAAAAATCTTTGTCCTCATGATTATTCGTTGGAATCTCAAGACCAGACCAAAAACATTTTGAATTTCTATAGCTATAAGCATTTAGTAAGTTATTATCGTTAATAACAGTGATCTGATTGTCATAATTATTATTACTTTTCTTAGCCATTTCGTTCATAGGAATAAAATACTGTTGTGAATGTGCAAAATCATAGATTCCTTCATGTGATGAGTGATTTTTTGACCAGTTTGGCTGAAAATGCAACGACTGATTCATAACATTATTAATACAATCATTATTACTGATATTAGTAAAATGAGGGTTAGTAAAACTAACATTTACATTAGAATACCATCTATGATGAGCGGTTGAATCAGGATGATGTATCAGTCCACTAGTAGAGATCGGTGACTTAAGAAATTGTTGAGAGTGTTTTGGTTGTTTAAAATAAAGAAAAATATCATTTGATGCATTATTCATGGTATCTAACGACATACTATTCATATTGGAACCATTATTTCTACGTAAACAACCATACTGTCCATCAGATTTATGAGATGAAGAATCCAAATAACCTGTTAAATCACTCACGACAATGTTTTCGTGAGCATGAATTTTTTTAATTAACTTCATTTGTGCTTTTGGTTTAGTGATTTGATGGATCAGTTTGTGAATCAGTGGATGATTCACATCGAGTACAGTGTTTTCACGATCTCTGGTAAAACATACAAAATCAAAAGAGATGAATTAGTGTTTGTTCCATAAACAGCCAGCTTATAAAGTGTAAAACAGTTAGTTAATCTGTGCATACAATCAGTGTAGAAAAGAGATATTTGCAACTGGTGGAAGCAAACATAAACGATAAGTAGGTGACTATTGTTACTGAATTTAGACTAACTATTAGATTTTATCCGAAAGTCATGTAACAACTAATGAGTACTCTTATTTGACAAAATACCATTCACGTTATTGAAGTAGATCTTAATTATGAATTAGAGTTGCATCATTTTACATCCATCTAGTTATGAGTTTAAGTCCGGTCACTTATGGATTGCGTTACGCTGTCACTTAAGCACGAATTACTGATAACCAAACCAATGGTTTCATCACAAAGGATGGTATTATTTGATTAACATGGATATTTAAATTAGTACTGGAGTGCACTTCGGCAAAAAAAACTCTAAGTATCGACATTTAACACATTTATTAGTATTTACAATTTGCCATTCCACTAAAACATGAAAAAGAACATAAATATTGGAATATACAGGCTAAGTAATACAATACAATATATTGCAGTTTGGAGCAAAAAAAAATCATCCAGAAATGATATGTTTCTTTGTGTATCCACTTACTGCGACACACTAAGGAAAGGTAAGGTGAGAAGCTAATAGACCTATAGAAAAAACCCAGATGGGATCAAAAATTAAGGTAGTCGTATTTAAAAAGTATGTTAAATGAAATACAGCAAAAGAATTGTGTACAATAAATCTGATTATACCAACAATCACTTTTAATACAGTTGGACAAAAAAATAAGTTCATTATATATTTATCATTCCATTTACTGCTTAGGAAAAATAATGATATTATTCAAGATATGAGCGAAAATTCTTCATTATTTTGTTTAATAAAGCGTGCACCATGAAGAAATTTACACGAACATATTTTTTTAATATAGATATTCAAAACAGAAAATATATATTTTTTAGTTCAGTCCAACTAATGGACTTCCCTAACCAGTTAACAGGGTATTTTGTTTCCACATAAGTATACATACCTCCCCCCCACCTTATTTGTACGTACGGATAATAGTTCAGTTTCTTTTGACATTAGAACTGCATCTTGTAGGTAGATGTTGTACAAATATGCTGAAGAAACCGTTAAAAAAAGGTCTACATTTGTTAGTGAATCAATTCATATATGTTTATTTTGTCAAAGTAGTAACTAAATTTCTGTGGTTCAATCAATGATGGAATTTTATTCTGCGATAGCTTTTATGAAATCACATCACCTAATTCCTAATCATAATTGCTGGTGGACAATCGACAAAACTAGATGTCTGGATAACTTGGAGAAACGAATTTATCAGGAAGGCAAACTACAACTACTAAAAGCAACAACTATAATGTTGTTTTTGCCTCACTTAACAATTATGATTCAGTGTATGAAAATAAGCACAAAATGTTGTGAGATATGAAAAACTCAATATCAAACAGGTAATAAAATACATGAATTTAGCATTTCTATGGAAACTTAACTATATACTGTAATACGTACAGACAACATAGACAATACAAACTGTTGAGTTAGTAAAAATAATTGTATTAAGAAAACATATTATCGAAGATAACTTCAAATTTCTCCTAGGCGTAAGCTTTGCAAATATGGTTGTCAAGTATATATGTTAATATTATTGAATAACAATTATTGTAGTATGCAAGTAAAATTTAATAAACGCATAACTAAATGGCAGAAAAACGACCCTTTTTTCTAACATAAGTTGTATCAACATTTTCCAGACATTTCTTCTGACTAATATTTTGAAACATTAACCTTTCAGATGATAATAATTATCAAAATAAATATTCACAGTATACTGGGATGATGAAAATACTGGTTTATTGCAATGAAGAAAATGTGAAAGGGTTGCACATAATGATATATATATATATATACTTCTTTGTAAAGTAGACATGTAACTTCACATTTAAAGTGAGCTAAAATGTAAGCCTTTATTCAGTTTACATGGCACAGATAAAACATTCCATGAAAGTATTTAATAGAACAAAATATGAAGTAACTCAATGAAAAAGGTTGCAATTAATGAACAGTCGACTGAAAAGGAAACTGATGGGCTGAAAAAAATTCCGAAAAATCCGTAAAGCATTTATACATGAAACGTGCGATTTATTTACTCTACAGACATTTACGGTGTAAATACTCAGTTGCCTTTCATACCTTTTGACTTGTTTATTATTTAAAAATTACAGATCACTATGACATTAGAAACGGACTAAGTAGTGATGGAAATGATCTGTCTACCAAATATTAATAGATAAATAAATTTGATTTATCCACATTTCAATAGTATCCCGGTCACCATGGAACTCAGCAAAGTGAACAAGAAAAGACAATAAATGAAAGACTAGTCAAGCACAAAGTTGCTGATAAAATTAAGGTTTTATCTATAATGTATAGCAAATTGTTTATCTGTCAGTACTATACGGAATAACTCGTATGCAAAGTGGAATTTCGCGTTAACCTTGAAAAATGTTTGCTTTGTAAATGTCCTGCTGAATTTAACCATTATTTGTCACAGAACTTATTTGATACGTTCCGTGTATATTATTATACGAGTTTTGAGTCATGATTGAATAAAGTATAATAGAAAATTTATGTTTTCTATGTTCACCTCCTGATCGGACACTGAGTTAGAATGAGCTAGGCGATTGAAGTGCGTTAAGTTCTTGGCTGCGGTCATTGGTCGATGTGTAATTCGATAGATAATAGGTCACCGGCCCTACTGAGAACTATAAATGAGCTAATCAGTAATCATAGTAGAAAGACAAAAAGAACAAATAACTCCTCCCAGCCAGATCATACGATCCCCAATACAATTCAAGAATACTTGTTCATCTCTGCAAAGGGTATCATTATTTAAGATTAATGAATTTTGCCATGTTTCCTAATCTTCAACAACTAAAAGGAGTGTAAGCTGAAAACGGCAACCACTGAGAATTTTTTGGATTTAAACCATAGAGAATATTGAATACCATTAGATCTTATGTAGAAAATCCATCACTAGGAATCTACATTCGCAAACAACACGTAAACTTAAAAGTGAACACGCGTAACCAAAAGCAAAAATATGAATACAACGTACCTTGAATGCATTAGCAGTGTGATAATACATGGATGATAAACTCGAGCCATATGCTGAATAACGTTCTGAAATGTAAAAATAGACTTGTCAATATTAGACATGGTAGCCGAATTCCTTGTAGACCAATGGTCACAGCAATAACACCATTGATTTTCTTCATTTTCAAGTCTTAACAAAGAACGAATTTTATCATGTAATTCCTGGTTTTCATCTTTATCGCATGTATTGGTACTAACATCGTCCGCATTAGTAACATTGTCACCTGAAGTCAATATTGTCCAACTGGATAACAGACGTTTAGCCGCTGAATACTTATGATGATGAGACTGCATCGCTCCTTTGTGCTGCATTAATGGATCAGACTCTAAGGAGTTTAGTTCATCAAACGATTGATCAGACCATGTTTCAGCTAGATATTTGTGAAAATCACTCTCCAAATAGGTTTTTGTTAATGAGATACAAGAACACTGACTTGATGTGTTATGATTGCGAGTACATTTCTCAACAGATGGGACGTTTTGTCTAGAACAAGATCTAAGGATCCCATTTATATCAACACGAAAAAGAAAACGAATTCGGGTCAAAGATAAATCATGATGGCAAACAACAAATATATCATGAAAAACATTTATATATTATTTGAAAAAAGTGAGTGCCCAGTAATCATATCATTTACATAACAAAGACTGTATGCCAATGAGAAGTGAATTCAAGTTAGTCATTGAATGGAAAGAATCCCATGAATATCAACAATTTATTTTTCATTCATTGTAAATTTGATTGTTGGGCAAGTGTTTGTTGGCGAAATATGAAAATTACTTAAAGTCAATATTGATTTTAACTCGGACGGATGTCAGATATATTCTGCATCATTAACGAACATATGAAACCTCTAGAATTTTCACCCCGATTTTGAAATTCATATTCGTCAGTAAGTAAGCAGTAAACATGAGAACTCATCATTTTGTCAAGTTTATTTTAAGAAAGAGAGAGTAACCATGTGATTCTATTTCAAGTTTTGGACAAAAAATATCCCTAACGTTCAGACAATCGAATCCCAATACTGTGAAGTGAGGATTAAAAAAAAAGAGAAAGAAGTCAGGGCATAAAATAGAAAACAATTTCAACCATTTGGGGATTATTGAAATTATATCAGTTTGAAAAAATGTAATCTACACAATAAACTAAAACATGATCTATTGGCACGCAAAATCTTTGTAAATATTAATTTAATTTTTATGTTGAAAAGTTATTTCAAAAGATATTCGTTATTCATTATCACTGAATAACCTTCAGCTTATTTTCTTGATTAAATGACCTTAATTCATTTATATATGACGTTTTGAAAAATTAATGTTTGATCATTACTTTTCTATACCAAATGTTTAGAGTGAAGTATGAGTTAATATTAAAACTTTACTCTCTCTCTCTCTCTCTACAAATAATGAATATGTTTAGATCAAATAATAAAACTGGTTTAGCATGTCACTTAATTTCCTACCTCTAATAAAAACTAGTTCTACGTATTGATCTCACAACAATGCTACTTATCAATCAGTTTGTAATTTTAATAGACCAATATTTTAATAGATATGCAAATGCTCGATTACAGGTCGTAGAAAGGCTGTAAACGGTTGTAGTGAGTCAATCCTCTTCAACATTATTCTGGTCTATGCGTGTCCAACTAGATCACAAGATATATCATCAGTTAATTAAGACCAATCAATAAATGAGATTACAACTTGTTTTAAAAAGAAAATTTGGTTGAGCTCATGAATGACTTGATCACTAGTCAAAGTTGTAGAAATTCGAAATACTAAAGACTGTTTATCATAAAAATGACGCTTATTTCTAAAATGACACCAGTTTCGTTAGCAGTTAATAACATGACCTATAAGTGCGACATTTGTTGAGAATACATTAAATTGAGAACTGATAAGAATCAGAAACAAAATATAATATAATGAGACGAACAATTTGCTCAAAAATCAAATATAACAAATCTCATTATTTTACATCATTATCATAAGGCGATATCCCATAAAAAGCATTCATTCTGCACTAGTAACCCAGTTTCCACACCTCACCTATGATAACTATTCTAAATACATTACTTACTGCTTCCTATACTGGAATGTTGAAAATATGTTAAGTAAATTAGTGTTATACAACTTCAGGTATTCTGTAAATCAATAATGGAGTGGGAATATAAACAATATGAAAATAAATAAGATAACCTTACTTCAGAGGAGATGGAAGAGTTCGAACTGTTCTTGGTGCAAAAACTGATAGAGGAAAATTTGGTAAATCAATGTGAATAAGAGACATCGGATCAATTATTGAGGGCTTCATCAGATTAGGTTCGTATCCTCCTGAATGCACAGTGCTGTGTACAATAGGCGAAACATAAACACTATTGGGATCACAAGATGTTTCAGTAACTGAATTATGAGAATCGACCGGGAAATTTGAACTTGAAACCACATTATTACAATTATTTATATTATTGTCACTATGGTCCTGCTTGCTCGAAACAGCTATGACTGTACAACGTTGTGATAATCTTTCCCGTTTAGAAGCGCAACTATCACTTTCTAATGAAAGAGATTCATCTTCATTATCTAATTCAATGAGATCACAGGATTCTTCTTCCAAATGGTTAACAGATTCTACAGTAACTGACTGAACCTCGTTTCCATATACTGAATGCGCTGAAGAACTACAAATTTGTTTGCTTAAATTCGAAAGTATCAATTCACGAAATCGTTGACCAAGACTTGCATCACGAGTCTAGATAAAATAGTAGAGGAAAAATAAGGGAAAAAAACTAAGGATTGTGGTATATATATATATTAATTGATCAATTTCTAACCTCTCATTCATATTAAGATCATAGCAACAGAAGAAATACAAACCCTTATAGATAATAATAAGTGAATTGGTAAATAACATCATATGGTTTTATTTATACATTTTAGATAAAACACAATACGAATCTCGATATAACAATGAGAAGACGGAATTGATCTGAAAACTGTGATATATTTGCGCTATGGATTTCGAAAGATCTGGACACATATTTAAAAATTACTAAAAAGTCAATTAAACGAAAGGTCAAGTAAACAAAATGAGGAGTCCCATACTGGGACGAAACGGCCGTCCAGTGCTTTCAGGTTTTCAATGGTACTCTAGCTTAGATCGACTCATGAATTCAACTGTTAAAAGTGATAATAATAAATAAAGGAGAGAGAAAATTAACATAGTATGGAAAGATTAGGGAAGGGCAACCGGTCATTACTTTCTTCCTCGTAGATCACAACGATATCATTCTACATAATATTGAGTTTATGTAATAAACTAAGCAATATCAAAATTCCTAACCACATAACTAACACATCATCTACATATCTCCTATACAGAGTTGCCTCGCTAATGAGTACACTCATCCTATTTTCAACATATGACAAAAATACATCTGCTGAAAGAGGTCTCAAACGGCTACCGGATCAAATCACACAAGCCATTTAAAAAGCAAACAGCAATAAGCGTTCTGCATATACATAAGTTTAAACAGAATTAAACGTAATAATGTATACATATGAAAGAATATGAAGACTTTTATGTTAAACACATGCATCTTGACATTATTTGTATAAGGAGGAATGGGAAAAAATCATTGTTACCTGCAATGGGATGGTAATGTTTTTTTCTGTAATACAGCAGAAAATCTGTTCACCGAATGCATTTCTCAGCAAATAACTACATAGACCTAAGCGAACAAACAAAAAAACCGTAGAAGTTCGCAATCAGTTTATACGTTCCGATACACAAAACAGTATTATTTTGTTTTTAATTTATTTGATGATGATTACAATACATAACTCGCGTTTCGTTGAGAAGTCTGTACATAAATTTCAAAATGGTTATAATACAAAAAGTGATTATCGAATGTCTTAGATATTAAATAGTATTCTAAAAGGCAACTGAGTCTCCACAAGTATTTAAGGAATGCGAAGCAGAACTTGACACATTTTATAATTTATTTATTTATTTACCAGATCAAACAATATAACTCTGTCAGATATCTATTCGCTTGTAGTCAAACTTAATTTCACGTCGATTAAGTAGCTTATCGATGTTCAAAAGAACGTATTTCGTAGGCGAAATACCGGTTACTCTAACTATTCGGAGAGCGACATTTGAAAATCACTAGGAAACTAATACCTACTATTCAAAAACATGAGACGGGAAATACAAGAAACAAAACGTTTTGTTGGCATTTTTACCTAGACCGATGGAAAAATGGCAAGAGAATCAGTATTGAGAAGAGCAAAGGTAGAAAGCATTTTTCAGATAAAAACGTTCTACAAAATTGCTGGATGAAAATGAGTAGTATAACGACAAATGGCAATCCGTATGAATATTTTGTCTACAGATCAGCTAAAACATATTTTTAACTAGTCGGTTATTTTCAATGTAGGACCCATACATCAGTTCAGGATTTTAGAATCATAAAGCATTTGCATAAAATAATTACCTCATGGATAACGACTTAACGTAATGACCATACGATTAACAGAATATAATGTATATGTCCTACAATCTAACAGGGTAACGTAAGATTGATAAATTACTTTCATAATTGATTTGAATGTCCAATAATATAAATGTTCCACTATCTGAATAAGCAATAGCCAATGGCACTTCCAGTCCTGTCACTGTAGAACGATTATTAAACACATCTAAAAGGGAAGCTCCTAAAAATCAAATAGTGATGCTTTTTGGAATTTGTTCACTAATTCTCGTTGAATAGCATCAAATCCCTCAAATAAGAATTTTTTCAAACTACTTCCCAATAACAACTCTAGATAACACATATATAAAGTTTAATGCGATAAAAACTAACCAGTGAAATCATTTTCATCAAGCTGAAATTCCGACCACCAATCATCAGTACGTCGTTCCAATAAATGTATACGAGGCAGAATTCGCAATTCATAAAAACATTTAGTTAACTCTGAGCCTAAATCAAGAGTTAACTGAATGATGGAAGCGAAAAAAGGTAAAACAATTAAAATCACTCCGCAGTGTTAAATTATTAGAAAAGATACAACAAAATTAATATTGTATACTGATGCATTGTGAAATAAAATTGTGTTTTAATACTGTCAGTAATTCCCAGTGACGACTGCAACCGCTGTGGTTGATAGTCTTGAAAAATATTGGCGAGACTATGGTTTATGGACGAATCAATCAGTTATAAGATAACAGGTGTTGGATTTTGGTGCGAACTTCATTCATCCATATGGCTAAATAGCGTTTGTGATAGACCCTAAATCTAGTTTCTAACCCTAACCATCAACTGTAAATCATAATTCTAACTCTTCGCACTGCTCTATAACCCTCATTTAGTCCTAGTAAGTGGATGTTCACAAGGTCAATTTTGAGTCGCTCAAAAGCCGTTCATAAAATATGGTCTCATCAAAATATTTACTGATGGCTATTTTATACAATGATCCATGCCACTTAAATTTGAATCTGATTATCTGCTGAAGCCCACTATCTGTATATCATACGCGAGGACACTATTTCAAACACCTACAACTATGCTGTTAAACGACTGCTTAATCAAATTTTATATTTAAAAAAATCGCATAAGGCCTAATATTGTCATGCTTCAATTTTATAAATTAAAATAACAATTCACTTTCAGTAGTATCTTGAAAGATGATTAAACAACAAGAAAAAACGGAAAAATGGGCGTAATCATGGATCAAATAATTAATAATGATTGCTACGATAATTAAGATTACATTAAAGTTTACGAAATTAATACATTTGTTGTTTAAGTGACAAACGCTTATTCATTAAATATTTAGAAGATATCAATTTCACATAGATGATGGTAGTTTGACAGTTAATTAAACAGTTAACCCAATAGGTTAAGTAAATAAAATAATTAGTTTTACTGAACTGACTTCTTTTTTGGAAAACTTTATTTATTATCTCTATCAACACAAATATATTTTTTTGCATCCAATTTATGATACAACATGAATAGAGATGGAAAATAGAATAAAGGAATGTTTTAAACATGACAAATCAATGTTCAAAATAGATTAGGGAGTGATGAGTTATGAAAACTTAGTGAGACAGGGTGTTATACACATTGCATTTGGATTGAAGACACTATGCATGACTCATAGTATATGAGTGGTAAATTTAGCGAGTATATAAGCAAACAAGTGAGAGAAAATGAAGTTTTTCTCCAGAATTAGTAGGAAAGCAGGGATTTTTTTACTCGCGGTTGACACTGTTCACCGTAAACATTCCTTGTGAATCGATAATTTTACTGATTACTTAAATACTATTCAAATAGGTTCATAGAAAATGTTTCAAACACTGTTAAATCTAACTACTTGACGAACTTTTGCTTTTTCATCGGGACAATTTTTAACCCCATTATTTACGATACACGAAAGAACATATCCTCCTTTTCCGTTGCTAATTCATTTTAGCTTTGCGAAAGGTATTAGTTTGGGTTCTGCAATACATGTGTCATATGATTTTCATAAAACTTTATAAGTTATAATTATTCTATGGAAAGCTTGGATTTCTTGGATAGGCAAATATATGAGAAATATGAGAAATAAAAACGCAAACGCTTTTGAGAAGATAGTTAGTAGATAAAGAAGTTACAATATAATGCTTCATATTAAAAATAGTGAATACTGTTTATTCCTTGACACTGATAATGAGCTATATTAGTCAATATCTAAAAAAAACATGGAAAACAAAAGTAGGAAAACCAATGGTGGAATTTCATTAAATTTTTATGTTAATAATATAGAGCTCATTAAAACACTAATAAATACGATAGGGGATCATCTGTTCCGACTCAAATAATTACAATCAGGTAGATACGAAAAGTAAATATAAGCTAATATCAAAAATATATTTAACTTGCTTTTAAATTTCGATCAGATAACTTTATGCGTCGAAAGAATTTCGACTTGGATTGAACTTCAAGAGCTTTGGCACGCCTATAACCAATAAATAAGTAAACAAACAGGTAAGAAAAATAGTATTATTAAAATTTTATGTAAACATATTATATTTATTTTAGTTTGGACAATAAATTCATTTTCTGTACGGGGTAATATTGTAAACATTAAGTATTTACATTTTAATTATTATTCAGGAAGTGAATACAAAATGAAATTAGTTTGCTGCTTAAATACACATAGTGTTAGATATATTCCTTTGTATGTCTTCATTTCGAGAAAAAAGAACCAAAAGATTTCAAAACCGGAAAACCTTTTTTTGTATGGAATAAATGCATTTATCGTCAATATTTAAAAAGGCATTTAAACACTTTTAATGTATTTGCTTTGATTGCCATTCAATTCAATGGTTTTAAATATATTTTATTCATTTAACACATGTGTATATTCTAGGATGAGTTCATTCAAGCCTATTACTATTCAGTACAATTGAAATCTCATTACCATTATGATTTCTGAATAGTCACAGATACAAAGAAATTATCATAACTCTTTTTTACTGTTCAATTAATGTGTTTTCATCATAATCAATGTAAAACTTAAAATAATGAATTTTAAATTATTTGTAATAACTTCATCTTGTTGATTACAAATGTATACCGCAGTGAAGAAGTGTAATAATAATAATAATAATAATAATAATAATAATAATAATAATATTACTATTATTATTATTATTAATTTGTGCTTTGTTATTTTTTCGCATTTTTGAAACTGTTTCCTAGTTACAATCAGTTATAAGGGATGCCTACATTATAGTTTATAATTAATGTAGACATTGATGAATAATTAAATAAGATGTTGAGATGATCAATAAGAGATAGCTACCATAGGTTAAACAGTAACCTAGCACATTGTACAGAGTTATGGAGAAACAACAAGAGATTTCTTACAAAACAAAAAAAGAACAAATAGCCAACAATCTGTTCCTCCTATCTAATTTAAGTTGATTTACATCCAAAAGAAACAATTCAACTGTGCACTATCTGATTACTAATAAAAAATGTTATATAATTAACGAGGAAAAGATTAGCTTACCTATTATAACTCTTTTCTATTAGGTTGAGCCAACATCGAGTTTTGGTATTTAATGTATCGGCGACAGTGTTGTCCGATAACACAGATATAGGTAGGGAAGATAATGATTGTAAAAAATCGCTAATGTAAAAACAAAAATCAAATTGAAATAATCTTATTTAAATTGTATGTAGATACAAGTAAGAAATATAGAATAACAAAAATTAAACGAAAAATTTATGATGATATGAATGGATGATAAACTACTGAATTTGATATTTTCAAGAAAGCTGATGATAATAACAAACAAGAGACTAATTATGCAATTTCTACTGATTCCTGATACAGTGTTTTTCACCAGACTACCAGTGCCTTGAAAACAGCCCTATACTACTGGTCACGGTTGTTTTCAGAATATTGATGTTACTCAATAAGTTATAAGAATTATTAGATTTCGTGACAATCCAAGTGTAATGTATGATGTCAAGCGATCTTACATTATGATCTACATGATTACATGTAACATGTTTTTGATGTAATTTTAATTTATGCATTTTTTACATTACTAATAATGTACAGTTTAATAGCATGAAGCACCTGTTCACATATACTTATAGAGACAGGTGAACAGTTGAATAAATATCTCAAGTTATGAGATCTTGAAGAAATTGATTGACAGACAAACGGTTGTAGAACACTTCATGACAGGTTCACTTGATCACAAGATATCAAATAATATTTTTTTACCTCAAAGGTGAAAATTATTGTACTAATATGATGTGCACAATGTCCATTTTTAAGGTTAAATGTGGGCGAACATCTATGCGAAATCCAATTCCTTGAAATGTTATAATTGATGCATCTGATAAGAGTTCAGTATTAATTTTGATGGCATAACAATTTATGCATATTATTATAAACAATAAAGATGAAATACATATGACTACTGTGATTATATATAATCTACCAATAGTTTTTAAAAAATGGTGTTAAAATGTTATTAATAGTACTTAAGTACTTAATACCTACCTTAGTATAAGGAAGTCTATATTATTGTACATAGTGTAACAGACACATACATCTTTAAAATTACTAACGGATTAATAAACTTTAGCATCGATTTCCACCCTAAATGTCACATGCTACAAACTTCGATGAAAACAACTTGTATAAGTATCATGAATAACTCCTTTGGGAAATAAATTTATACAAACAGTGTAATTCAGTCAATGATTATTTATACCAGCGGCTAACGATGATATCTAAATTTAAGCAAGATAAAAAGTTAAGTTAGTTTAATGCACTAACAGCGACGCTATTTATAAGTACTTCCGAGAAGAGATAACCGCTCTCTAATAGCACTCAAGACCATTGTATTCATAATTAATCTCCCTCTTCAATTCCTAGTATTCCTCTTACGTCAACTTTCAACTCTAAACTTCCTTATTTGGCTTCTTTCTCAAGTGCCACCATGGCCAACGATCCTAGTGCTTTCGAAGATCATCACATATTAATTTACTCTTCGGTTTATATATGCTCCGAGTTATATCTGTTAGTTATCGTTGCAACGATGCGATTTCCAAACATAACTCATCCAGACTACGCACCTCGAATAAATGTCATGGATAACTTGTTTCAATTATACCGATATGGACTAAAGGTTAAAAACTGTTCAGATAGTCCACCTAGTCCTTTGAGTAGTAAAAATCAATTTAATAAGATTATTAATGGACCAGATATTGAATGTGGAAAAAAAACAAAGTAGTTCATAACATTAAATAGTTGATAACTGGTTGATGTAACAAAAAAATAAAACCTGTGATATTCTCAGAAGGAACACAAGGGTTTATATAAGAGACTAGGATCAACTCAATCGCTTTATTTCCTGCGAATTTGAATCTTTGTTCTGTTATAGACACTGGTTTATACAAAACCTTATCTGAAATAAGTATGCGATAAAATGACGACTATGATTCATTGTTGACAAGAGACAAAGATGCCACTAATAAGTCTAAAAACTAATAAGGAAAGCATACGACAAAAAACTTTTTTCATTAGAACTATATGACAAACTAGAAGTAGTAAACAAAATGCGCGAAGGACTACGCTCAATCATGCAAACTACGAGGCTTATTATTAACACCATGTCACACCTCCAAAGAGGTTTCCTTCATAGGAAAATCTAAACAAGTGTGCGAATTCCTCCAGTGTACAGTTCGGAAGCAAAACACCTACAATAAAGTCATTTCACAGCGAATGTTTAAGGCGAAAAAAACGGTTATACCAATAACTATTATGCGAATTTTTTTAATTATGTCCAATTAGCAATCGATAATTAATCGGATATATATAGCGAGAGAGAAGGCGTACTCGAAATTGTTTACTTTTGGTTATAAAAATCAACAAAAATAGGTTCACGAGCTGAAGGTAAGGGAGCTAGCTAATAAACATGTAACAACAACAACAACTGCAACAACAATGGATAGAATATAAATAAATAAGTTCATTTGAGAAAAAAATAAAGCTAATGAGTTTATGATTCAATTGAAAAATAGTGAGAAATATTTCTCGTGAAAAAAGAAACAAAGGAACTCTTGATCAGCTCTATGTGACAACAACTCTATTGATAAACGAGAATAATAAATGATGAACGTGGACAATCAAAGAGCATAATAGTTATTTAATTACTTATTCATAGAACCATTCTAGCAATAGAAGTCAAAATAAAACAATCCATGTCAGAAAAATGGAAACGTTACAGTTAAAAGTGCAAAACGTCACCATAATTTGCGGTAATCGGAAACATAATAAATTCTATGAATAGATTTGTTACATTTAATTTTATTAATAAGTTACGAAGGATAAGTTGACATGTAACTTAATTATTAAACAAATGTAAATGTCTCGAAAATCTGCACTTCAATCTATACTAAATTGGTTGTTCTACTCAAAAATAACTTTTAACTGTGTAAATGTATCAAAATGATGATTTCAAAAAAAAGCATGTAAATGCTAGAAGATAAACTTAAGGGTTTTGTCATGGCGAAAACAGCAATGAAATCCTAGAAGTGACTTTTACAACCTCGTATGATTTTCATCTATGAATGTGAATCCTAAAAATGTACATCGACACAATATTATGTATGCAAAAATGGATGGTGGCTAACAGTGGAATCCAGGATGCATGATTTGTACTATTTAGGATTCGTCATCTGGAAGGACCTGTTAGCTACCAACCATCTTTGCTTAAAATGCTTATGACTTCAGACAGTATCGAGGTAATCCGCACAGCATGCACATATGTCAATAAGAGAATGATCAGTTGCACTCCTAAACACCAATGAGAAGATTCGAGCAAATAATTAAAAAATTTTGTGCATGATTTCTAAAAATTAATGTCTAAATATGTTTTTTAAATGTAGTTCACTAACAGGCAATCTGTTGGGTTATTCATGCATTAACTTGTCCAAATAGCAAAGTGGTTTGAAATGCCTATAAAAACGTGTAAACGTTTTTTGGATAGATAAATTATCCTATCGTGAATGACGCGTTATCACCATTAGGATAGCGGGGACAATTATAAAAAAACTTTGAAAAGTACTTTCCGTGGATTCAATAGACATATAGTCTCAATATTACATCATCGACTTTTGTTAATTTAAAGTATTCTTAATTGTAGGCTTTTACTTGGCTCATCGATCTTTGTTATATAATCTTGCTTACTTACTTACGCCTGTTACCCCTCATGGAGGAGCATAGACCACCAACCAAGATTCTCCAATCACCTCTGTCCTTGGCTCTTCCTTCAAGTTGTTGCCAAGGTCTATTCATTCTTTCGATGTCTATCTTCAATTCAGCTCCATACGGTAGAACTATCTTGACATTCGTATTCAGGGTTCTCAATTTGATGTCCATTGACAGTTGTTTTGAGTTCCATAAGTTTCTTGAACTGTAGGAATGCAGCTCTTACTTTGTCAATCTTTGCCTTTATGTCTGCATTAGATCCTCCTTGTTCAACAGTGATGCTGTCCGGTTACGTGAAAGTTTACACCACTACCAAAGCTTCTCCATCGAGTGTGATTCGGTTGATGTTCTCAATGTTGTATTTTAGGATCTTGATTTTTCCCTCTTGCATATTGAGATTTACCACTGGAGAGGCTGACTTGACCTGCATTTATTACTGTATGTGGGATCGAAGAGCTACGTCATCTGCAAAATTCAAATAATCTAGCTGCACCCAAAGTTCCCGTAATATTCCATGCTTCCCCTCATAATCCAGTCAACCACCAGAAGCAAGAGAAAGAGTGACAGTGGATAGTTTTGTCTGACACCGCACCACATTTGGAATGCGTCTGTCAGCTGTCTCCATGCGACACTTTCCAATGTAGTCCATCATATGAATTCCATGAGATATTAACAATCTTCTCAGGTATTCCATAATGTCGAACGAAGTTCCACAAGGCTCTCCTGTCCACACTGTCAAACGCTTTCTGATCGTCGAGAAAGTTGACGTAGAGTGACGAGTTCCATTCAATTGATTTTTCAACGATGATCCGTAGCGTCACGATTTGGTCAGTGAACGAGCAATCGTTACAGAATCCGGTCTGCTGGTTTCGAAGTTGGGTATCTACTGAATCTTTCATCTGGTTCAGCAACACACTGTTGAAAACTTTTCCTGATGCCGATAGCAGTGTGATGCTTTTGATTTTTTATAGTTTCGCAGATCTCCTTTTTTGATATCTTGATGAGTTATCCTTCTTTCTGGTGTGTTGACGACACTTGTTCCTCCTCTCAAATATTCCTGAATAGAATGTGGAGCATGTTTGCAGTTGCTTCTATGTCTGACGTTAGTGCTTCACGTGGTATATTGTCATGTTCAGCTACTTACTACTCTTGATCTGTCACATGCCCATGCATGGAACCTGTTGTTGAGAGTTATCTTAAATTCACTGAGTTTGTCCGTATCTCGAAGGAAGGCTGAATTGAAACTTTCTAATGTTGCTTAACCAGTTGTCCAGTGCTTTGTTAGCTTCAGTTTCATCTTGGCAACTACCATTTAGTGGTTTTCTGAAGCCGTGTCAGCTTCTCCACCAGTTCTAATGTCTTCCGTCCTCCTTCTGAATTTTTTGTGACGCAACTATGACCGATCTGATTCTCTGCGGTGGGATCCAGTGAGACCCATGTAGCTTTGTGTGTGTGTGTTTGTGTGGGAAAATTAGGCCGTTTATAACCGTCTTGTTGAATTCACATAAATTCGCAAATCTCTCACCATTATCGTTCCTTTCTCACAGTCAGTCCATGTCATCACATGATATTTTCATACCCGGTGTTATCCATTCCGACTATGGTGTTTACGTCTCTCAGCAAGATGGTTATATCCTTTCCTGGGCACTTATCTATGATCAACTGCAGCTTTTCGTAACACTGATCTTTATCGTTGTCATCACTATCATTGATGGGTGCATAACACTGAATAACATTCAATGTGATTCCATCCTTCTTTGTTCTGAAGAATGTTTTAATGATCCTGCGTTCATGGGTATCTTCTCATTTCCGTAACTATTTAACTGGTCCTCCAGGTCCTCTACATTGTCCGAACATTCCATGTACCTGTATTAATATCTTCTGTAACTATTAGAAAGAATATCAGCCTCGTGACTGCTGAAGAATCTCGTCTTTCACAACGAGGCGTAATAATTCTACTGAATGAAGATCATTTAACTCCAAGGGCAGAGTTTAAATAATTTAATTTGTTTATTCTGGTTAGTGATTTTTTTGGTAAGGTTGTTTTCTACGGGATGGGGTTGTCGACCCAATGCTCAACGTACCTTCATAAATAAAAAGAAAATTATTCATAAACCTGCTACATAATTCTGTATAATAAATATCTCGGTTCTGTACATAATGAGATCCACTGTTTATGGTGCATTATGATCTTGTATTCTATGTACATAAAATCACATGAATTTTAAATTTTGAATAAAAGAAAATAAAAGATGGTTACATGATCCTTCTGGCTTTTCGATTAGTGAAATAAGAACAGGTAAAAAAATTTGTATGGGTGATTGATCACTACGTTAGAAGACATAGTTAGTGGATGTAAAAGGAAAGCTTTATAACACATATTTATTAAGAAATAGGTTATAAACACACCTTTATTTTTAATTTAAATAAATGTTGACTTTAAAACATCTGAAGATCAAGAAGCCTCGAGTAAAAGTACTTAACTCGGCTTCGTAAAAGACAGATTATACAATCTCCAAGAGTAAACTAAATCATTTTGGATATAAAATAATCTAAAATCATGTTAGTATTCAAAGAAAATCCATTTTTCATACAGAATAAATCGTTCTTTAGTTGGACTTCTGGTACAGGAAATAGCTAATCTAACTGAAACAATTACAACATTCATTAAGAAATGGAAAGATATAGCACTTTTAGAACTCAATATTAAAAGTGCTTTACAAGAATCCGTTAATTTTAACGTATTGTTATTAAATTTCACAGGTTGAAATCATGAATCAGTTGAAGCTAGACCACCATCGAAAACCTGGAAGCACTGGACGGCCGCTTCGTCCTCGTATAGGACTCCTAAGCAATGCGCATCCACGATCCCGCACCACGCGGGGCTCGAACCCAGGACCTACTGGCTTCGCGCGCGAGCACTTAACCACTAGACCACTGAGCCGGCATCCAACGGTGTTAATGTCTAACTTCAACCTATCCACGAAGTTGCGCCACCGTACACCATTGTCTTCTGGACGGCCGTCCAGTGCTTCCAGGTTTTCAATGGTGATCTAGCTTCAACTGACTCATGATTTCAACCTCTGAAATTTCTTAAACTCTCCACAAAACCCATTCTGGCATTGTTATTAATAATTCATAGATTACGCTTACGTGTACACGGTGATAGGCTTTTTAGCAATAGATTCCATTTGGCTTCTCCATAAATTCAGTTCCAAATATTCTAATTGCACATTAAGTATAATCAGAATGTCTTCAGGTCGAGCCTGGACAAATAATCAATCATATAATTGTAAATATATAGTTATCGATCAAATAACAGAGGAAATGATGAAACAATATATTTAACAAAAATAACTCATAAAGTGATAGAAACTATGCTCAAACGCCAAAATAATTTTGATACTGTCTATATTCTCTAACTAATAAATAAAATGTACCAATTTATAGTTGTGTTTTTTTCGAAAATTATAGACTATAATACAAAACTAGTTTATGAGCAACAATCAGTGGGAATAACCGTAATTTAATCAGTTAGGCGTTAGGAACGTAGAACCTGACAATATATTTGAGCTGTTTCAAGAAACAGCACCAAATCTGCACAGTGAAATGAAGTCAAGACAAATATGATAGTAGTAGAATTATTAACAATATTACTAGCAGTATAAGAGGATAGGCACAAACGATAAGATTGGGGAATAAATTCGTGGAATAATAAGTTCTAGTATTTTAAGACAAAGAGTGAATACATTTGCTCCATTCAGTCTGACTCAGGGCTACTTCAGTTAAAGTCTTCAATCAGAAAGTCTGCATTCACTTACACGACTCACTTCAGTAGTTAGTGACCTCATGAACCAATACCAAGTCTGTAAACCAATATCAACAAGGAATCTTGTATCTATAACTCAACAGTTAAACTCTCGTATAAATTGTAATGACACAGTTAATGAGAGAGAAGAATCATGCAAACTATTTTTAGTAATGATACTCAACAGTAATGAGGAAAGTAAAGACCTTGACGCTTTTAGACGTATTCTTAATACGCAGTAAATTATAAAATCTATATTTAACTGTTTCTACTGTAGGGGTTTGAGTAGATTGTAAGAGATCACAGTTCATATCACTGACTGATCATAGTTAGATAGTTATTAAAAACTAAGAAGTAGTGGACAGCTGTTTTGTCGTAGTATAGGACTCCTTAATGGTGTGTACTTAGGACACAACCAGGAACCTAACCTAGGGACTTCAAGCTTCACTACGAGAGCTTAAACTTAATAGATCCGGGGTCCAATGGTCACTTCAACCAATTTTTGATAATGTATGATCATCACCCGTTGCCAATGATGATATGTACCTCACACTCGACACGACTCAACTCCATCAGTCACTTATTCTCTTTCGAACTATCTCTTGAAGTAAATCTTGATCGCGGATGAGTACTGCCCACGGCTCCCTAGTTTTTAATCGTTTTCTGTTTATGGTTAGTTTGTGATATAAACTATATAATAGACTATTTATCAACGACGTTGATCATCTTAATCTAGTTTGACAGTCATTTATAATAATTGTTTAAAAGAAATATGAGCTACTTGGAAAAGATACAGAACGGTTACTTTGTTTAAAACAGGATCAATGTTGTACATTTCAGATAAACGAAATGGTTGGAACATTTCCATTTTAAGGTACATATTTATCACATTTCATTTTATTGCAACGCAACACATTTTGTTTACAAGCTAACCGTATATAATCAGTGTTTATGATTATGGTTTACAGGACACACAGTGTTCACATAAAGAAAAATAACAAATACGATTTTAAAAATGTGATACAAATAATAGTTAATTTATAAAGCTTTGAAAACTAACCAGTAAGCAAATGCTTCGCACAGTTTTAGGATCATTAGAACGTTTTACAGAACAATTCTCTTGACATGGTATACGAGTGACTAGTTTGAACACGAAGTGAAATACAAAAGCATCCCACAAAGTATACAGTAGATATTTAGTTACCGTGAATAAAAGATGAAGTAGGAACCATACTGGGCATAATATAAATGCACACAGTACACTGACTAAAAATTGCACGATCGATTTTAACAAGAATTGGTAAAAAATAATCTCGAATAATGGTAGTAGACGATTAGATCCAAGAACTGAGATTTTCAAGATAGAAAATAACAAAACAAAAACATTAGATCTAAACACAATGAACGATATTTAGCATGAACGTTATAATATTACTCGTAAAATGAGTTGTTTGAATTACGAGTGAATTATTCATTGATGAAGTCGAATTGTAATTACTAACAACAGAAAAAAACAAAGAAGTTAAACTAGAATGAACTGACAATAATTTTATTTCTACGACAAATATTGGTAGACTGATTAATTTTATGTCACCAACAATTTAAAACCTCTATTTTTTGTCCAGTATACGATAACTAGCAAACCCATATAAAACCGAACATTGATGAAACGAGCAACCAAAAATGAGATGATTATTCATTTAAATTATATTAGGATCTAGGCATATTAACATGCCTACAGGTTAAATCAAATGTTAATGAATATCACTGAATACCAGCGTAATTAGGATAATCAGTAACGTAATTCAAATGTCTGCTTTATATTATTCATCAATATGGTACGAAAGAATATTGCATAAAACAAAGATTCTTTAATGAAAAAATATATAAGAACAAAACATTAACATACCCGGTGTGTATGCATTCCAAAACAGTAAACCAAGTAAATGTGCTAGTAATGATAGTAATGGTATCACAGGTATCGATAGTACACCGACTACTATTGAAGTGGTAGAGCATAAAATACATAGTGTAGGCCAAAATATTATTAAAACCATGGTTGTCAAGACACCACGAATTATATACGTCCAGATCCAATGAATTGGTCGTATTATATACCATCGAAAAATCCCAGTTGATAACAATTGATGGTCAAAATTTTGCCTATTTTTACGTAGCGTAGTCCACATTTGACGAAGAAAACTGATTAAAGTATGATTATAGTATGCTTTGTCATGATATACATAACCCTTTAAATTAAAGAGCAACAAACAAAAATGATTACATACCAGCCATAAATTTAATATAGAATGCTCGGCAAAATACTTTGGAAATATAGAAGTATGGATCTAAACTATTGGAATCAAGGTTGTAACAATGTGGAACAAGATGAAAGATAGGTTTTCAGGTGTTAACCAATCCTAACAATAGCATACAAAGTCAACTCGCATAATTTACATTATATCACAGTAAAATACAGTCATTGGGTCAGATTGCGATCTATTATTACTACCTGAGCGTGTTATGAGCCAACATGAGATTATGGAAATAGAAAAGATAGCAATTTCCAATAGAGATATATCGTATTACAGTCACCAAGATATAATAAACGGTAAGAGGAAATCATATTAAAAGACCAGTTAATATTTTCACCTGATATGACATTTACAGCTTCGATCAAATATTTCGAGAAAACATCTTTTACTACTTATTGAAATATAGTAGCTTAATAAGAAATACGAAACTTTCACTGATCAGTAAAGCTCTGATGAAGTTAGTAACCGCGTAAATCACAAATAGCCCGTCAGTTAAACTTGTTAACTTACTGAATTTTTATCTACTTTGTACATGTAATAGATTGACGTCGGCTTGAACAATACCACATAGCTGACACATGACTGGAAAGGGATAATGACCTACCAAACAAAAAACAAAAGCAACTTACTCAGTCATCATGATGGTTATACCAAGTTTAAAAACTAGTATGTTACAAAAACGACAGTCAACATTCAAGTGTCATGATTTATAAAAGACACGATGGTAGACAATTTTTACTATAGTAGGCTATTAAACTTATGCACATACTTAAAAATAGAACTAAATAACTTTTTTGCATTACGTAATACAGTAACAGTAGGTTAACTTAAATGGTTTGACTAACACGAAGAGTTCAAAATACTGACAAAAATAAACTTGGAAATTACACGACAAATGTGAAGTTATTTTATGCTTTGTTCATACTCCCCAGTGTATATACTAAAATATTACTAGTCAGGCGATGTGTTTGGTTTTGCATAAAGTCGAGGTTTTGAAGAATCCAAATATCAGGATGAAATAGAAGTCCAATACTCATAGGTCTTCAGTTATTTTAATATTAATTTTAATTCACGGTGAGAGCTGTTATGAAACCAAGCGGTCAAATTATCAACGAACAAGCTCTTACCTTGTGAGTTCGTATACAACAATTAAGTTTGACTGACCTGAAATTATAGTCAGTGAAATGAGATTGGTAGTCGGTACTCACATATCAGCTAATATACTGAATCCTTAATAATTTTCCAACCCACTAATTCACCAGATATCGTATTTTTTTGAATAATCGATCACAAACACCCTACTATTTCTTATTTCAATATAATCGGTAATTGGATTCTGCAAAACTTTGTCTTCACATAGAGACAAACAAGACTCATTCATTCAATCCTATTTCGTCTCTTCATTGATTATGACTACTAAAAACTATCAATACGAATGTTGAAATATAGGGATTACACAATCGATTAACATTTAAACTTACAAAAAAGTATTGCAATGAACGGATGAGCCATGAATAAGTGCATAGAAAGAAAACAAGCCAACGCCACATAAAATGACGTGTAGAAGCTTTTAACACTAATGTAGATTGCATGACAAAATTTGATTGCGAATAATTCACCTGTATAAGATTAGAAAAATAATAATAGTAGTGATATTAACAAAAATTAATGAAAAAATTAATTAATAAATAATAATGAAATTAGTGTCAAGAATGACGATTACGAATGGAATACGGTCTCAATTGATTTCACATTTATTGACTGGAAAAAGTACACCATTTAAGGAATAACCAAACACGTAATTAAGGAGATAAATCTTTCGAATAACGCAGTAGTAATAGCTCAACTACTTCACTTCATACCAATAGTTCAGGTGTTGAGGCAGCATTTTGTATCTGGAGAGAGAATCGTATCTCAAACATGCTTGGATTGTTGTTCAAGGAGATCAGAAGACCGTATGGAATAAAACTATATCATCTAGGTATTTTAGGTTAGCAAATGTATCTTCACGTAGAAAGTTGGTTCTTGGAAAAATAGATGATGACAGCATTATCCTTAGAAGAATATCATTGACGAAGTTAGACCGAAAACGAAGTAAGCGGAAAATTTATATGAAAACCAAATGATTTTATTGATTTCGATGAAGGTTCGCCATAAGCTCCAACTTGATCAGTGTTCAAGTAAAGAGGCAATACAGGGTTGATGTACATTTTTAATATGCGTTTCATTGATAGACACACATAAAACTTGTCGATCAACGGAGTCAAACGCTACCTTAAGGTCGAAAAATACAACTATGATTGGGAGTCAGTAAAACATGCCTGTGTCCCAGAATTTGGCGAATGTTTGGTTTACATATGCGAGTCTATGTCTGAAACCAACTTGATTTTCTCGAGTTCGGTCTTCATGAGGCCAAGATAACTGCTGTATGATTAGTGAGGATAATATATAAAACACTATTAGTCAAACTGATTCCTCTGTGGTTGTCACAAGAGGATTTCTGTCCTTAATTATAGACTGGAACGATCAGCAATTGAGACCACCTAGATGAGATGGCGTTTAGTTCCGTGGCTTTAGTTATTATCTCAGTCATTCTAACCACTGAAAGTGAACCGTTATCCATCAAGACCTCTGGGGTTAGTCTATCACTGTCTGTTGCTGTTCCTAGTTTTCTCAACCTAATTAAGGATCTAGGGACTTCTATTTACATCCTATTTAGGTTCAGTGAAACTGTTTTTCAAAGTGTTCCACATTTTCCGAAATAGTCTAACTCTAGAATTTTAATGCCTATCACTTTGATAAAGCTGGAAAGTTGTCTGTTGTTACCAACTGTCACTTCCTTTTCCATTCCTTTTTCTTTCAGAGTGCACATTATCTTGATATCTGACAAACTACTTCTCTGGCTGTCGCTCAAAAAATATAGTCTTGACTTTTCCGTAGCCAAGCTAAATTCCAAGCAGTTCACTTTCTGTGGCTTTTCTGCATACAGTAAGAACTAAACAAGCAAGTACTCTCATTATCACAGTTTAATCATATACTCCAGAATCAGCGATACTCCTCTATCGAGCCTTTCCAATTACCACTGACGGCAATATGGTTCATTTGCGTCCGTCGATGGGTGAGTTTTGGGGATCGTCATGTGGGAATGGTATCTCGAACAACATCTAAAATTGATGCTTGCTAAAAATAAGTGGTTGTTTGAGCACAGTTATAACAGACGATTGCTATTGTCTGTTTATTGAGTTCGAATACTGTAAAACATACCAGTCTTTCACCTTGATTTACATTAGCAACTTAGGTGTAAAAATGTTCTGGTACGGCTACTACGTTTGAGGGTTTGGCTTTTTGGAGGGTAGTAGAAGTCCTCCCATGAAAATTACCTTTTGCTTCATTCAAACTCCAGTCATCATTAGAAGAGGTGAACAATAGGCAATGATGTGTTCATATTTTTCCAAGTTCTTACTATCCCGTTCAGTCGGACGGTGCATTAGTAACTGACGATTGGAATCCAGTTCAGGCGAGTCTGTTCCACGTTTAAACTCGATATTATGTTTACACTAGCAAGGATATGAGAAGTCAGTCAGTCAGTAACAACGTGGCACCTCGAATGTATGCACATCGATATTGGTTATCATGCCCCGTCAGCACAAGGTGTTGGTGATAGTAATAGTATGAGTAGTGATTGAAAAGATTAGGGACAGAAGATACGATTCAAGAAAATGTAAATTTCTGAAATAAAAAAAAACTGTGAGGAATTCAGACGCTTAGAATTTGGGGGGAGACAAAGAATGGATGCACCTGAGCCATTGAAGACTATGAGGAATGCCAGTCAAGACTCAAGACACAAAGAGGGTAAGTCGAACCGGTTTCTGCATATTAGCTAGGTGAATCAGAGTAAATGACTACAATCGGGTCTTGAGTGTTTGTCTCGGAAACAGCACACTTTGTTTGCACGCAGGTTTTAGTGTTCTAGCTAAGAAAGACTGCTAGTCAGCTTGACATAAGGTTCGAATATTGAAAAATCCAACATATATTTTAGAGTGCTGTTTCAACAGACCATCAGTAATATTTAGTGAACTACAGTCGTTAGCATTGGAGAAACAAAGTATGTTAAAGGTGAAGGGATTTTGTCACAAATAAGAGGATGTCAAGGCCAGTTGCAGAAATGGAGGCTGTTACCTTACTCTTGTTACCTTCACTATGAAAAGATATATCTTCGAAAAGGATCTGAAGAGGGAACTGGATTAGTAGTGGGATAGTGACTGCTGAGTCTAATGAATAGCTGTTTAAGGCCATTAACATACATCCTTTTTGCGAGGAATATTTGATGTATTAGCTCCATACTTTTAAAGCCTTACTGTTGGAGATGGAAATCTGTAGGATAAGATGGAGTGTGACATTTTTAGGCTGAACTTTTCTTAACCCTTCGTTCGTAGAATTGTTGTAGATGATAGTTTACATATACTACTGTATATTGTGTGAGCAATATAATGTAACTACGTAAAGGAATTATGTGAAACAAGTTTAGGACATATTAATGACAAACTTACATGGTCAGTACTGCTTTTGAGTGGGAGTAACGGGTCTCGGTAACGATGATCAGGCGAATTTAAAATATTTGAAAAGTCTGTATTTGATGCTACAATGTTATCAGTGAAGAAGTCACCATGAGACGGGAAATTATCACCTTTATTTGCCTTGGACGTATTCATAGCAAAAGAACTGCGCGGAAATCGGTACATCAAAGGAATAACTTCAGTTGTACAATTCTGAGTTTTGTTTCTTTTGATATGTTGCTTAATTGTAGGTAGTTTATTAGGAGAATCTTCATCAGAATCATAGCTGACCAATATTGTATCTACAAGTTGATAACGACTTGATAAGCTAAAGTCCTCACGATACACATAAACATTACGAAGACAGCGTCGTGAAACTTGAAAAATGAACTCTTCATCTGGAAATCTGGCGCTTTTAAATATTTGATCGCGTAGGAAACATTCACGCTAAGAAAAATAAGTCCGAAAGAGAAAAAACGTTGTAAATAAGATAAAATAAAACACCAGTGACACACGGATATTAAATTCGATAGTAACTTTCATTATAAAAATGTTTTATTAGACCATTAGAACATTTTCGAAGCAATGACTATTAGTTTGTTTGTAATGTAATGGAACATTTTTTCACTAAACAAAATCCAAGGTAAAGGTAATTGTTTGGTCCCTTCTCACACTAAAGAATTAGCACAAATTAACACCGGGTAACTAGTCTTTATTGGTAACTAATATTAAGTGGTACAAATTAAGACAACCCGGAGAAGTAGAAAAATATTCACAGTTTTTAATATCAGTGGACTGAAACGCTAACAAAAGTAACAACACGAGTCAGACAGAAAAAATGTTTAAAGACAAACACATAAGAACGTGATTTGGTCATATGATTTGGTAAAAAACTGATTTTACTTTTGACAAACAAAATCGTTAGCAGATTGGATAGTGACTTCCAATCCCTAACAAACGTGATGTTAAGACCACACTAATAGAATCAGACAAGTGTATCCAAAATCTAATGTTTCAGATTGAATATGAACAAAATATCAAACAAAACAATTGATACCCAGAGGGTCTAGATCCATAAAAGTTCAGACAGGTTAACCTGCTCGAAAAGCCTACTATTATGTGATATAGTAAAAATAACAATGTTATAAAGTCATAATTACCAACCAGGCGTTCAATACCAACGACAGAATCACATAAGCAATGAGAAAAATGATTTACAACATAATTTTGACAGTAAACAATTAAAAAATAATGAATCAAAACATTTTGAGATGCTCACTTTGATGTAAGTGTGTAGAATTAATAGATATCCATAGAAACGGTGAATTATCATTAAACAAAAGTTCATCATGCAATAACGAAAACATTGTAAAAACATTTACAGCATGATAAAGTACATACCATTTGACTACCTTCAGATTAGTTCGTCAAAAATGCAAGCCGCTTATAAATTTAGTGAGGTTTTAAAGAAAATAATTGAAAAAAGCTGTAATTGTAATGTGTCGCAAAAGCATACCATGGAAAAATAACAAAGAAAAACTAGAATTAAACGAAACCGACTTGTTTCTTCATATTAAAGAAAGTAAATATAAACAAAGTGACATCAAATAATAGTCTCATCAGATTTACTTAAAATGAAGAACCGTATAATAATTTTTAGAACAATTTCTACGTCATGTAACATATATTGCGTATAACCCCCAAAAAAATTATTAACATAAATAAATAAACATCACCACTGCTTACATCTTTTAAAAATGCTAAATCACGGCCAATTAAAAAAGCATAAGATTCTAAACCATTTGAAATGCATTTCGATAAAACGTATTCATGAATGTCCAACTTATGCTCCTAGTATAAAATGTAGAAGGAATCAAAAAAATAATAACAATGAAAAGGAACTCAGAGAAAACAATCATATTCGTCGATTAAATAAAAAGGAATCAAATCATCCTTCATGTATGAAATGATGCTGGGAAAAGGACCAATTCTCGTCATTATAAACATAATTTACACACTACTACACTTGAAACTGTTTTGAACCCGGATGATAGAGAAGTAGATTTAACAGTAATGAGAAAAAAAATGCTAACTTATGTTATGATATTTATTTGACATAAAATTCCGAGAATCGGTTTCATAATAACTGGCATTGATTACCAAGGTGCTAATGCAAAATTAAAGAAACTAACTTGCATTCAACAAAATAAAACTCAATCTCAAGTGTAAATCATACCAGTAAATCAATAAAATGCGATTAACAATAAGAACAGTAACAATGTTTTGGTTTAACTCTGATAATCAAAACAAAAAAGTAAACGAAAAAACACATTGTGTGTGTGTTTGACGGTACGATTTGCAGAAATATTGTTGTAATACATTCATTTAGTGAGAATATACACTCGTTTACCGGCTCAAAGTGACTTTAGAGCCAACTTCATATACAACAAACAAGTTTATTTAGCGTAGTTTATTTTATATATAATAGTATCATACATGAAAAACCGGTGAGCAAAAAGCACCGATTTTCCTTTTTAAAAGTAGTAATAACTTCAAACCATTGATAAAATAAGAAATCAGGTTTCATTTCAACTGCAGTATTTGTAAATTGTCCCGATTACAACCAGAACTTAATTATATTCAAGATTAATGCCAGTCGGTGGAGTGGTGATTCAGCATGATCATGTACTGAAAGAATGATATCAATCAACTGAAAAATTTCATTTTCATTATTGTCACAAAGGTGGCTTTGCGATACGCTATCTCCTGTATAGGCTCAATGCTAACAACAGTTACTACGTCAAAGACTGAAAGTTCCTGAAAGGGAAAAATGATGATCAACAGATTTCCATCTTTTATGTACATAAGTTTATATTGTTATTTTCATCATGTAAACAATTTGGCAGTATTCTATTTAACACATTTTGTACATATTTTCGAACATGAAACGACTTTTTCATAGAATCATTGAGTGAAATTATTAAGTTATTTAAAATACAAAACCTGACAGGTAAAAACCTACAGTTAATATAAGGGATCATATATTGGTACACCAATTTACCTGTAGGTATTCCGCCTTTGCATAATACCACTGTTTTGAACGCCATTTAGGAATATTAAATAAAACAGGATTCCTTAATTTTAAGTTTCGTTCATGCGACTGACAGTATGACAGCCAATTTTGCATAAATAGTTCTTTAGCTTCTGTCACAATTAACTTGAATTTCGCTTCCTGAATTAATGATTCAGCTGAATCAAAACAAGAAACCGTTTTCATTATGTCAGTGATTACAGAGTATTTAAGAAAATAAGAGAATGACAGTCTCATGATTCCAATATGTTGACAATTTAAATTTATATTTACAGAACATAATATTTTATTAAGTACTTTTGACATAGCAAGATAGCTTAAAAAATCCTACCATCCTATATCCATGTGTATTAGAGAATTTACTGCTGTCCAGATAAAACTGAAGGATCCGATGGTAAAGGAATCATGCATAAAAAACCACGGAAATGCACATTCAAATCTTAATAATATTAATAGGAAAAACGAAGCATTCTAAAAGTAAAACACCGGAACAAATTCAAAATCATGCATTATCAGGAATCAATATAGAACGACACGTATACTTCGAAAGCTGCGATGTATATGGGTGTTAAGTGTATTAATATATAACCTATTGAGTAGAGTGCTAATCAGCGAAATCTAAGAGTCGGAACAGACATAAATTAAAGTTTATTACCTATCCCTGGACTAATTTCATGCAACGCTTCACTTTGACGAATGGCATCAAATAGTCGTATTGCATACTGTTTCATACCATCCAGTAAAACTAACTGAAAGACATAAAAAGAAATACAAAAAAAAGAAAAACAATGGAATTATTAACAGAATACAACAGCAAACAAATTAGAAATTTTGATATGCTTTGAATAACTAAAAATAGTAACCATCAACAATAATTTTAGTTATATTCCCAGCAGAAATAGGAATATTAGTTAAAGAAAACGATCATAACTAGATAATCGGAACAAAATAGATGAAAGGAGATATGTAAATCAATTGACATCAGTTCCATACAGATCTCATGGAACAAAAGAACAGGTAACATTGAAAAATTATCAGTACAACCGGCTTCGAGTATCATTCACAGTGCAGTATAAAGTTATACTAATTTGGGTAGGCAAAAATAAACTCACAGGTATATTTGGTAGAACGCAATGGTAGAATTCAATGGATGAAAATTCTCTATAAATATAGTAATATTAACATATGTATCCACTATCCAACATTAAGCATATCAGATTCCTAACGAATAACCTCTGAACATAAATTTTCGAGGTTAAATAAATGTAAGCAGACAAAAGATTTCGGTCAAATTGGGCTGATAAAATCCCCCACACCCTTAACCAAATTAATAAAATTTAATTTTTCACAAATACGATACTAAATACAACTCTAAATCAGGATCCGACCATAAAATGGAGAGAGAGATTTTGCACAAACTACTAGAAACTACGAAAAAGCAAATAATTATGGTATCTGTACGATTTCTGTTCACTTTTAGAGTAAAAATAGATTATAACTCCAGACTAACATAACGAATATCTTGCTCTTATGATATGGATCCGAAGTGCAATCTCCTCCTCTCTAAACACTAATTACACCATAAAGTCCCGATTATTCTCAGAATTTTTATTTATTTCAACACATAGATATTTGTACAAAGAGGCACCGAATACATATGCGCCACACAAATCTCATTCGATATGTGTGAGGGCTGTGATACTGCCCGGGTGCCCAAACCGAAACAGGTAGTTTTCTTAGGGGGCCACACCCGGAGCCTTCGACCTGAGGGTCTGATCCACAAGGCAGTGGAGCATCGTAAGGAGATGCAGTCCCATGGAAGCCGGTGACCAACAATTGGTTCATACGCCATTTGTTCCCTCAGGATACTGGAGCCCATGTGCACCATTGATTTGGAATCCGGTTAAAACGCCGGACATTCGCTTTTCGTCCTCTCAGAATGATTAACAGTCAACCCCTCAAATTGCTAAAACTGTGGTATATCGGAATCGTAAGTGCATAATAAGGCAGGAGACGAAATACATTGTGATTGTCAGTATAGGGGTTTCCAACAGTGGTCTAACACCAATCCGTTCATGATCTCAATCAAAAACTTAATAATCTCCACAACCTCTATACTGATAATTAACATGTGCTCACTACTGAATAGCTTCGTGAGGAAATTCTCGGAGTTCTAGTGAGAAACCGTGACCAGTGGAGCTAATCCGTGTCGGGTAGAGACAGGTATCTACTTCAGTACAATGGAAGATGGTCGCGCAATTTTGTGGATTGGTTGATGTTAAACACTAACACCATTGGATGCCGGTTCAGTGGTCCAGTAGGTCAAGTGTTCGCGGGCGAGAGTGAAGACCCTAAGTTCGAATCCCACGAGCGGGGTCGTGGATACGCACTGCTGAGGAATGGCATAATAGGATGAAACGGCCGTCCAGTGCTTCCATATTTCCAATGGTGGTCTAACATCAATCGGTTCATGATCTCAATCAAATACATTGTGATTATTCAATCTTTTGGACTTATAATAGCTCTACGACATGATACATAATTGAGATCATATAATTTACCGATGATCATAACAGATAAGAACAGCTTAATTCAGTTAACAAATAACTAATAATTTAATCTATCTCATTTATTATTTAGAGTAGAACACTGTAATAATTTCCTTAGTGAATAATACTTTCTTTTCTTTCATTGTAAGCAAACAGGATGAATCATCATAATAAGAACTGTCTTTTTCAAGAATAGATAAACATAACAAATTACACGTTATCCAACTAAGTGAATTGATTTGTGCTTTAATACAGTTCTTATTACTTATACACAACTTAAATGTAAATAAACACTTTATTAGACCATAATAAATAATAGACATTACAAATAACAAAATCAATTATATCCATTAGCTTTAAATAAATGCTTCGACAAAACTCATTTGCAAAACTATTCAGTATGCTTATAGAATGTGAATATGTAACATTAATTTCATCTCTTGATATATTTCATATACAATGTTATGTTTAATTATATTCGTTAAAAATAACCGTGTTATTATGGTTTTATAATAAAACTATTATGTATAGTAATCGCGAACTGATCTAAATCAGTCTCATCTAACTATCTTGCCCTATACTAATCATTTCGAAAATATCATGAAGTGACTAGCCAAACAACTACTATTGAAAACCAGGGGTAACTATCTCGTCCTGGTACGAGACTCTTCAGTAAAGCTAGTACCGAGCGTATTAACTACATACCGCTGAGTTAACATTGAATGTAAAACATTATAATATTTTTTTATTTAAGTCGATTAATGATGTAAACTGTCTTCACAAAGTTGACATCCTGTTCATAACGATTTCACTCAAGAACTATGATAGTAACAAAATACACTATCTTGTGATTATTTTGTGTGATAAATAAGACTTTAAATGTCTATCAAAAGAAATCGATTACTGTGAAAACAGAATTAGGTTTTCTTTATTTATCCACCTAGTATTCTTTATTAGGTGGATAAATAAGTTAAATTTTGTACCCTAATCTGAAAGTACGTACTGGAATAAGAAATATCCATCCCATAGTTAGACATATGAACTTGAAATAACGATTGAAAATTAATTGTCTTACTTTATAGAGTTCTAGGAGAGCATTTCATTCTCATTGTATTTAGACAGATTTATGAATTCTTAAATATCACTGTAAGATTTAGAGTAGCATCTTTTAGATTTATACACTTTAAACAGAAACTTCTTTTGTATCAAAAAGTACGCTTTGTTATACAAAAGAAAAGAAATAAAGAGCTGAATATCACGAAAAGATTGGATATGATTCATGACTATATGGAGAAAATTCTCAGTGTCTTATGTTTGCGAAATATGATAATACCTCTCCACAAACCCATAACTTTGAGCCTTAAAACTATTCTTAAGATGGCCGAATTCCGTCTACAAGAACTACCTGAATGGACAGGACATTTTTTTCTTCTGATAGCTGAATTTTATAATTGCCACTTATTACGACAGTTTTTATTACATTATTTTACTCTTAGATTATACAATTACTCTTATATAACCCACAGAAAATTACTTAAAATAAAGTTCCTTTCGTCCATTAGAGTGTTCGACGAAGAAGATTTGATGTATTCTTACGGTATATTTTGAGTAATCAGATTACATCTAATCTTTTTTTTAATTAAAGACGAAAATGGAATAAAGACAAACTACATAACATTGCTAGTAGGACATGCAAAACCAAATTAACAAAAGAAACTTCCGTTTGGATGAAATTTTGAAAGGAAGCTATAAGTGCAGATTCAGCATGAAAATATTAATTTAACACATTAAACGAATCCACATTTATGTATGAATAGAGCATAAATAAAATTAAATATATGGAATACTAATAATAAACAATGAGTGTATTATGATTTATTGGTTTGCTCATAGCTGATTATTGCCATTAACTACTGGTGGTTATCTGAGCTTACTGGCCTTATTCAGACACAAGAATAGGAAATTACAACAGTGATATAGACCTTAACAACTGGGGGAAAAAATCTCTTCAAGTGCCGTAAGATTGATATGGTTGAAAGTACTTAGCCTCGTTTGCAACCAATATTCACAAACTATGTGAAAATACGAACTTAATTATACACCACTTATATGTTCTAGTATAACATTCGATTCCACTTTAGAACATGCATTTCGCAATAGAAAACACATTCCAAGATAGTGATAAGATCTAATGACAGTGAACAAAGGTTTATTTGGAAACCTTCTATCATAAGTTTCTTTTCCCACGAAACACTGCAATAAGTATAAACAAAATATAAATTATCCTGTCTGTTAGATAAATATAACAATGAGTAATTAAAATTTCACAGCCGAAGTATTCACTTGTAATTATGCCTACCTCATCAAGAAGTGATCGTGCAACCAAATAAAACGAGCTAATTTAATTTGATATATATACCAAGTTGGTTCGATTTTTGGCTTGAAAAAGGCAGTAGCCAAAGAATTCTATGTGTTTGATGATAATAGAGAAATAATTAAAACTAAATCGAAATTGAACTGATCTTCACGACTAATCAACGTAATAATCGTAGACTCATTGGTGGCTAACGTGGAAATGAATATCCGAAATTGCGCTAAGAAGCTATGACTAGCAGAGATAAACAACGTCGATGACACTAGATGATCGTTGCGCTTCATCATGAAATGAATAAAAGTGGGAATACGGATCACAGAATCTCATTGCTCTAAAATTAACGTGTTCACAAAAAGACCTGAGGGTTCATGGTTCAACTATTGATTGAGTTATGGATGTACACTCCACAGAATTCTCAAACCAAAACAGAACACCTCTCCAATGTTCTCTAAATTCCAACAGTTGTCAAAATGAAATTAGTCTGTGACCCAATTCATCTAGGAATAGTAGTAATAATATGGAAATCATTATCAGTTATGTTTACGTTATCATGATAATTCTCACCACTAAGATTCTTGACGCTTATTAAAATAACAATGACAATCTCATGTTAACACTACTTACCCTTTTAACTTCAGATACTGATTTCTTTTCATCTACAGAGTAAAATTACAATAAATGACAATTCTTGAGAACATTATAATTTAACTTCATAAAACAAAATTATAAATTGACAAAGACTAAATGGCTGTCTGGTGAAGGCGATAGAATATGACGTAGCTAAAGAAAGAATCCACGAAACTACGGGAATATACTATGAAACAATAATTGCAAAATTGTATATAATGCCAGCTACTAGCTGATTCACAGTAGTTTGAGCATCGGATAACTGATCCACTTTTACGTGTCTGACTTTGATCAGTTGGCCTAGTTATAGCAGGAATTCAATTATTCACGTCACTGTCTTTCATAAAGGAATAAAATTTTGCGGACATTTTTGCTATTCTGAACAAATCAGCTTCTTTAAACTAGTAGAGCACAAATACACTGGTGGTAAACCTGGTCCATTGTGATCTATATAACTTTGTCTACCCTAAATTACTTTACTGTTTGAAAATGTATTTGTGATTTTTCTAAACAAAACACAATTGATTAGTCAGAAAACAACAAAACTGAAAGAAAAGATTATAAAGGAATGTCTAAAAATAATATTTAACAAAAGCCATTACTGGCAGGTTAAATCAAGTGCACAATTTAAATAAATATTTTACAAATACTAAAAACAAAATAAGACAAGTAACAATATTCATGATAGAAACAAATGCGCACATAACCGTACTTCTAACGATGCTGATGAAAATAGATCGAAATTAAGTGTTGTGTCTCAAACCTTTTGAAAAATTTACTATTTGTATATAATAAAAGTTTTGTGTGAATAGCTTGAAAGTCATATGTATAAATATTTTACGAAACCAAGGTGATCGATATATCAGTAGACTTCCAAAGTAATACCTAACCGATATGAAAGCGCAAACTGCAACGATCAACAATTATGATAGCTCCCCTCCATCTTCGATTCACCGACACATTGAAATATCAAAGGATAACACGTGGGATGTGACTACAAGGAACTATTGTTTAGTAAGATTAGAACCCTTTACAAATATCTTAAACCAGATTGACACTATATAAACCTAGTAACAAGATGCACTAACTAGCAAGGTTAATTCATATCACATAGCAGCATGAATCAAAATCTGAAGAAGAGGAACTAATTGAACATTATAAGCTAATAACGTCTAATTAGACCATTTCCTATCGCTAAGTAGTGATTTAAGAGTTACTAAGCATTGATCTAATCTTTATGTTGGGAGTCAACAAGAAGGGCGGAATCATTCCGTATGTTATCTTTTAATAAGAAACATTTAAAACTGGTTTTACCAATACAATACAATAAAATTTCAGTTAGCTTGATTGCTAATTAAATATCTGAAGAATAATTCACAATTATTATTCAACATCAGTTGTATAAAAAAATATTCGATTTAACTGAAGATAAATGTGAACTGAAGCTTGCAACTTGTTTTCACACTTATTTTTCATTTGATGAAGTCAATAAGATTTTCATAAATTAACAAATAGAACTAATAACTACATTTTCTCTGGAGTCTGAAATTTTAACATTGCACTAGTCTACACCAACATTATTTAAACATCAACTTTGATGAAGTTAATTTCTTGGCTCTTTGTCTATTGTGTATAAAGACAAAATAAAGCAATTTTAAAAGAAAACGAATGGAGAATTGTATTTCATGTTACATGCATCTTTTTTTCAGTAAATAGCAAAATATATCATGTGAGCAATTGACAGTTTTTAAGACAAAAATAAGACTTGATATAAAGTAAATTATAGTTCATATAAAATGCAAATACAAAATCTGAAGCTTAAAACTCAATTCCGATGTAAGTGTTAATGATCGAAAAATGGAAGGTATGTTCTTGGAAATACAAACTTCAAATAAAAATAGTTTAACGGTAGTATTTTCAAATAAAGTGAAAAGAACAAGATTTTCTAGAATAACACAAATTCACTACAGTTCAAGGCTTCTCATCATCAACTTCCATTGTAAAAGTACTATAAAATGTTTTCAACATCGTATTCAATGAAGTTTAGTTCGAAACAACATGAGAAACAAGAAGAGGAAGCAACACATTTAACATGATAGTTAAGATTAATTAGTATTCATATGTTAAAGGTTGACTCATATAAGTAAGGGGGTTAAGTTATAGACCATAATAAAAAGACTATGAATAAAAACAAATTAATGAAAACTGAGGCACCTAGTTGACATGAAATTAAGGTTAACGTCGCGAGTGAATGTCTGTGGAATTTGTCTTACTTTAAGTTATAAAGTACAATGGAGAGATAATGTAATTAACAAGCATCAAAATAATGGAGTCATCTTAAAATGGTAATAAGAGGTTTATCACAACTTCATTCTGTATACAAAGGTCGGGTCGGAAGCACCTGATGGCAATGACCTCTGAGAAGCGGAGTAAAAGTATTCACTGTATTTTTGATAGTATTTAACGCTTTTGTTTCCATTATCAATTAAATGTTTAGTGATCACATTTATGAATACTTCGTTCCAAAGAAAACTTTCGCGTAATATAATCAGCAAATCGTGTAGACGTCCCTCTTTCAGTCTTTCTTATATACCTGATTCCATAAGCACATGTACATCTGTAAATACATTTGGAGTTGACCTCACAAGGGTATCGATCCACAGAGATTAATTTAGGGACATTTGGTATTATACACTAAAAATAGTTGGGCTGCAGGAAGGCCTATTTTCAGCGCTAGTTTAATTGTTTTGACAATTTTACCTGAAACCTCCACACCTTTCTTTAACCACAAGATAGATGAAAACAAGCATTTTGTCAACAGTTGTTTGCTTGTAACTTTTCGCAAACATTTTTTACGAACTTCATAATAAATTTCTTTGCATGTTCAATATACCATATTTCCTGAATTTTTTCGATTAAATACAACCTTCTACCTCTGTTAAACAGGTTTCTAATTAAACTGCGTTTGTAAGTAACAAGCAAAAATCAATCACAATTTAGGTATTACCCCAACCATATTTCTTTCCTAAGTGCGGTTCAGTCGGTTGATTCATTGCTCCATTGTTCTATTTCTGACGAATCTGTTAAGTATATAGTGGACTGTTGAAGTCGCAGAAGATTTCAATAAGAAATTTCGATCACAAGAATCCATAACTTATTTGACGCATGGAATGAAATCAGCCTATTAAGACATTTGAAAATAAATCAACAGTTAACTCCAAGTGTGCTCTAGTGTTCCCAATTCGCTTGGCGCTGCTCAAATTTTTGAAACTAATGCTAGTAAACTAATTCCATTGTGAACTTAAAAAAACGTTTACGAAAACTGATATCTCACCCAAACTTTGTACTTGTTACTAATGTTAATTATTCTAGTCACTTTTTTATTTCTATATACTTTTAAAGTTCGATGATATTGTAATTTTATTGAAATCACGAACTGATTTAAGTTGGACAACCACTGAATATCAGGAAGCACTGGACAGGAATTTAATTCATTGTGAGAAACCGTGACCGATGGAGTCCGACCGTACTGATTGTGATGATGTAAGATCGCGCAATACCGTGAACTGGAGTCAGATTTGTACAACATTGGATAACGGATAATTCGTCTAAAGGTTATGCGTTCATAAACGAGACCGAAGGTCTTGAGTTCGATTCCCAGTTGTGGAATTGTGGATGCGCAACCCAGAGTCCCACACTAGGACGAAACACCTATCTAGTGCTTCAGGGTTTCCAACGGTTGCCTAACATAGATCGGTTTGTACTGTCAATGAAATTCAGAAACTTCCACAACCCCATACTAACGGATATTATAACTGTTATTATAAACGATATTGTTTATTCAGTCCTTTAATCATTGTTTTTTCACCTTTTGTGTGAATAAATAAATATTCTGTTAATGACCCAATTTCCCAACATATTGTTCTCAAGACGTGAACTCTGCATCTGGGAAATCCAAAGTGTCGTGATAATTATACAATGAATAAACAACTATTTACTCACGTCATGAAAGTAAATGAAACCAACTTAATATAAAACCAAATCAGATAAACGGAAATAAGCATTGCTGCCCTAGTTGGGATGCTCGTGAGCAAAGGGCTCACCACTTTGATTGCTCTGGCTAACCACATAAAATGACGACGGATGAAATATGTAACTTTACTTGCTTTGTAAATATTCTTGAAGTTCATCATGTTCAAATAGCAGGAGCAATAGTTGTTTAGACTAAAAACAACCAAAGCTATGCATCCAGAGGAAACTCATTCAGTCTCTTTTTTGCCGTAGCTAACCTCAGGCTCAACAAAGATAATGGTCATTTTAGTTATAGGATTACCCTACTTGACCAAGCCACAAGCTACATATATTTTCGAACGCTAAAATTCTTTTATGCAACTACAATTTTTAGTGGTACTGTTATCCCACATTATTATTATTATTATTATTATTATTATTATTATTATTATTATTATTATTATTATTATTATTATTATTATTATTATTAACCTTGTACACACACCTAGAATTCAATGAGGACTCACTCCATTTTACTATTTCCTAACCAGTTCATATCATTCGATATATTATGAAATATTCAAGCAAACATTTGATCTGACTTGGACACTCTTAGGTTATCAATAATTGTTCTGATTGATAACCTCACAATTTCGTTTAACCCATAAAGTTAATCAAGTTAGTATTGCATAACAGCCATTTCGGAATTAATAATTTTATCTACATTCATTTTGACATTTTTATTGTTTCTTACAAACAATTCTAAGTCCGAAAGCTGTAATTTTAAAATATCAGTTTGCCTTAAACCTGGCTATCCTCTTTGTAGCATTAACTTGGACTTGTAACTATAGAAACTAATGAGCGATTATAGAAAGGAATATCTTTGGTTAAATAAAATGGAAATCTCTAGACTGTTAGAATGAACAGATGTAGGTTTCACATATTGTTTTAGACTATGGACAGAGTCAGTGGTAAAGAAAATACAACAAAAACCTTAAATACACAGCGTAAAAGACGACATATTCCTTGACTGAGGTTACTAAAACAAACATCAAATACACCCACCATCTCATGGAATCCACTGATGGGCAATTAAAAAGAGAAGTAAAGGTTAAGTGATTGGAAAACAACCAGACTATATTCAGCAACAGATAACTACTAATCAAAAACAAGTCAGAAGTATATAAAAAAAATTATCTCCTAATAATGATATACCACAATAAGTTGACTGACGTGAGAACAGTTTACACAAACCCACTTCAACCGAAGAACTTGAAATCAAAGAGCACTTGAGACGTGTTAGATATTACTTTGAAACTTTTAAAAGAAGTTAATCTCTCATATTTTTACTTGATCAAACTTACAAAATATGACACCAGGACACAAATCATGTCTGAAAACACTTATAGATAAAAAATCATTTTCAAGAGTTCTGCTTAAATTATTACACTAGCTAAAAAGTCTTTCAATTCATACAAAATATAAATCATTTTCATTTTTAAGCTATAAACTGTACTCCACAAAGTCATTAAATATTCGCATTACCTCTAAACTGTGAGACAGAATATTCTTTAAAATCTTGGAACCAATCTCCTCGCACTGAATTCTCCAAATCTCCAATCACATGTAAACAGCGTTCAAGTAGAACGGGATCATGAAGACGAAGATCAACTGAAACACGATTTGGTGTTAAAAATCGATACGGTAACGGAATGTTTTCTGGAATTTCCTATAGTACAAGCCAAATAAGTGAATGGAGGAAACTATAGCATGCATATATGTATATAATTATTATCAAACGTTCTAAAGTTATCACCATGATATTTATATAAAACTCTTAACGGTGTCATATAATGGATAGCACTTTCGCGAAAGGGAGTAAAAATAAGTTTTTTTTAGATAAAATTAGAAAATTCATTTTTAAAGCAGAAGTTGTTAGGTAGTATTGTCGGATAAAAAATAATGGATTAACCACAAACAGACGAACGCTAAACTAAGATGGACAAATGAATCAGAACCAGTAGAGAAATTTATAGAAATGTATTCTTTCTAGTTGTACATCAGTTAACATACAGGGAATTGTTAAAATCTTTGAGGTATGGACCTCAAGACAAAATGCTTCTTAAATCTAGCGAGAATTACATCTCCGATCTATTTAGTCATTACACTGCACATAATTCATCATAAGTAGACTCACTCGTAGATGAATTACACGTGTATTTCGTCCGATTCAAGACTTGTTACTTGGTTATAGCTCCAAACTAGTGAGTCACATATTCCAAAGATATGTACATAAAAAAAGACTAAATAAAGACAATCATACAAAGATTTCATATATCGCGGTAGGAAATCTTCAGTTTTACTAAACCTAATCAACCACCAGTTTAATATCATATTCAATAAGTAAAATAACGTGCTTTTATAAAACTGAAACTGTTTACCTCATTTATTTATTTTAGAGGAACTATTCAAATCTGTTTCAAAAGTAACACATCTTCATATACACAATACACATGAACAAGGAACGAAATCGAGATTATTTAGTACATAACAGTAAACCATTCTATTTCATAACACCGAGCAGCTATAATTTAGTATCCCGAAAGTAAAACATTCGTATGTTACTCTGTTTAAGTGAGATCATGTTCCTTCAAAAAAAGGATGTTGTTTTTCCTTGAGTTTTTTTTTACTGGAAACAGATATAGTTTACAGCTAATCCACCGCATTTAGATTTAAGAAAACACAAGATGTTTTTTTCATCCGATAAAAAAAGTATACCTTACATACCACAAGCTAATTCAAAGTTCTATGATAAGTTATTTGTTATGAAAGTTTTCATTTTACTGTTCGTACATCAGTGGCTTCAAAAGATTTAAAAACCAAGTACAATCAAAATCTTTACGTTAATTATCAGATGAACAAATATGTCAAGCAAAGTGGGTAATACATCATTCATTACACTTAAAGACCGGAAATAATTCTCATCAATCATTAATGATGGTATGATATGATTCAGTCAGAAGTGTGACTGAAAGATCACCCACTGTTAGCTGTAATGGTATATATGTATAGAGAAGTTCAAAATATGAATAATGGAAGATACTTCTGACACGATACTGGATCTAACGTGACTGAATAGATCGACATCTAATGCATAACGACATTTTAAAGATGAAAATCGTATATCAGTAAAATCAGAGAAGATAAGACTTTAAAAAAGAACTTTTATGAATCAAGAAAAGACGAACAAACAGGTGAACATCACAGTATATATGGTAGGAGACAAGATGAAATACTCAACAGAGTGAGGTGTCACGCGTGGAACACTGGGGCGCGAAAGGTCATTACTGTGCTAACCTCAATGCCAACACTAACCGATCTAATCAGTACAAAAACTGATATTTGTCGGCTGACATTTTTCTACCACAGCAGTCACAATCGTTGATCTTGGACGGATAAGTCCTAACGAAGGGACTTAATGAAAAACCAATTAACAATGAGAAATTTCGACTCAAACCATTTGATTGGTACACCATACAAATAAAATAACTAAGATCGATTATCTAAAATTGTAAAGATAAAAACTAAACTTCGAACTGGGGAATAATAACAGTAAAAATTTCAAATGCATCCAATATGTTTTACTGTTCATATTTTGCGTTTATTTTAAGTAGTATACGAATCTGTACAAGCATACATCAATTCAATTAATTATTTTCTTATAGTTTTGAGTGATTTCAAATGAATAGAGTTATTTCAAGAGAATTTAATTCAAAATGGAAGTGAATTATTAACAAAATGATGATGATGTTCATGACTTCTGTTAACCGAAAAAATCATTTACCCATTTTATTGATCGCCTAGTTGACCGAATTACATAAACAAGGTTACAGGCATTCACATACACACCGGTTTTGTGCATACATGTATCATCATGACGATGACTACGACAACAATGACAACAAAGATAAAATTGACCAGTTATTTGATATAATCCCCTAGGACAGCTAAAAAGCTAGCTTTTTTTCAAATTATCTAGTCATTCTCGCGAAATTTCTATCGATCAACTAACCGGATTGCTTTTCCCTGACTTTAAAACTGGAAAAACTGAACGGTAAGCCTGATCACATAATCAGCTATTAGTTAGTGTAAAATAAGGAGATAAACATTTTGTTGATTAAAAAGCACAAACTTAAGTTATTGCAACAGTAAGAAGACATATTCAATATGATACAGGAAACTAGTAATATTATTTATTTACATCAATTAACTACCCATTAATTTACACTGTGTACATGGGAATGAATTATTAAATAGCTTATAATTTAACAACAATCTCTTAAAGTTAGAACTAATGATTGCAAGAAGATAGCTTTTTACCAAAAAGATGACTATAGAATACTGAGAAAATAGACCTTGATGAGGAATCTGATTGTTAAGAAATATCTGTTAACATCACTATTGCTACAACTTGACAAAGTTAATAAACATTAGCAACTCACCACATGAATGCTGAAATAATGGTACTAGGTGAAATTCGAATATGGATGGGAAACAGTTCACCTATAATAATAGGTTTTGCAAGGAAATGAGATGCAAAGTAATCAGTACATTGTTAGCATTCCTGATGTAGGATCCGGTCATCCACTATGGTATACATGGACAAGTGTTTATGCTTGCTATGCCTTGAATGCACAAGCATTATCGCTTTTTATTTCACGTTGAATATCATGGTCTCTCAATGTTTCCTTCGTAAATACAAGCTGATTTCAAAAAAGTTAAAATGTATGCGAATATATGAAGTCACCCGTTTATTTTAGCAATGGGAATACAACCCCTATCTTAAATATGAAAGTTTCCAGAACAAAATAAGTGCTTTTCTTAGAACAGATAGTTACATATAACCCTTATCCGGACAATAGTAACAAATAACCATTTTTGAAGTCTCATAACTTCTAGATACCCAAATTAAGTTTGCCTTTGAAAAATCTATACGTGTTTTTGCTTCCACTTTTATGAGCATTTCGTTCTACCAATAGTATTCAGTCCTATGTGTATGTGATTGATCAGGTAAACAACGTGAAGGTCAAGAAATATAATCAGATTGTCCCAACTACGTAGTAAGGGCACAGAAAACATTCCAAGTTTTTATAAGTGAATTACATAGTCTGTAAAAAATGAAACTTAATGAATAAAAAGATTATGGAAGCGGGATTTGATAATATTTCTTGCTTCATTGTCACTTAAAATTCACCACTCCGTACATAAACCAACAGCTAAAAGTGCGGAAATTCGTACTTTTGCTCCTAATCTGAGTTAAATCTACGATTAAAAAGTAACTATTAAGTGCAAAGGAATTTTGGCTTAAAGTATAATAGCGTTCGTTGTAATAAATGCTAGTGCTTGGATAAAAGCGTTATATTACTCTGTCACAATCAAAATTGTGAAAGTTTGATTCTTAAGCAGTTAACAATGGTCTAAAATCCACCCACTAGATGAGCATAAATTTCTGCTGCATCATCTAAGAGCTTAGGGCTAGAACAAAATCCTGTGCGACGATTAATATACTTTCAACAAAATTCTAGATTTTGATATGTTCTTTCTCCAATGCTATCATAACCATCTGAAAATATTTAGAAATTCTGAACTAAAGCTGAAATATTGTCATATCAAAAACAATATTTACCTATCCCTGCTGACGTGATTAAACAATAGTAATTTAGATTAAAACATTTTTAAATAAGTATTAGCATTATGACTCACCTCATACTTTTCAAAAGGTAATTTACTTAGATGTTCGCAGATACTCCAGAAGTCTAGTACTTTTTTCTTCTGACTAGACTATAAGAATAACAGAATTTTTAAAAACTGAGTGCTAGATTTGGTATTGAGCATTAGAAATAAAGTGCCTACTAAATGATCACGAAGTAAAAGTTTATGTACTCAAAACTCATACTGAAAAAATTGTTGAATGAACACCATTTCTAGAAAAATGAATCGCAAGACAGAGCTTTAAATTAAATAAACCCGTTACTCCTTATGAAGCACAGATCGCCAAGGGAAAATCCTCAACCAACTCTGTCCTGGGCTTTTATTTCTGTTTGTTGCTAAGTGCTATTCATCATTTAGATGTTTTCTTCCAATTCCCTACGGCATGTCCCTGATCTGCCATTTTTCATTTAACCTTGAGAATTCCAAGTTAAAGCTTGCAATTTGGTTTCCGTAATGTACGACTTTACAGTGCAGCCCCTCATATAAGTTCCATATAATGATGATGAGTTTGTTAGCACCCCAAGGTAAACTGCGTCAAACCTTTGCAGAGTCGCTTATCCAATTGTCCAGTACTTCTTCAGCTTCGAACTTAGCTCAGTCAACACCAGGTGGTTTCCAGTTAACATTTTTCAGCGAATTCCTTGTTGACGGGATGAGGTTGCTAACCCCGTGCCTAACCCTCCTCATGTACCCGGGGCTTGTGACCGGCAGTAACTCTGAAAGAACTCCATGTGGTGGTGTTTTGAAGTCATATCAGCTCCTCACATTATTTTTAACTCCATATAAATTTTTTATTGATACAGATGTGGTCAATCTAGTTCCTCCAAGTTAGCCTTTTTTATTTGTTTTGGAGGGTGTTTTAATCATCCTGAAGCCATGAAATTCACATCCTATGGGAGCTGTTCGTGTTTCTTTAAACAGTATTAGTGTAAGTCCTTGTGCGTGCGAGGTATTTCTTCTTCAAGACCAGAATACAGCAACACCTCACCCGAAACTAGCCTCTTTTGTTCAATTTGTATTAAATGTGTTTTACTTGTCCCAACCACAGCAAAGTAGTACTTTCGCATCTTTCCTTCTACTTGAGTAATTCCCCCGGTCTTCGACATTTTTCAAGTATTCAAAAGGGATATCAGCATCGTGGCCTTTGAATCATCTCGGCTTTCACAACGCAGCGTTACAACTCTTCTATATGAAGACCCTTCAACCATTAGGGTAGAGTTTAAACGGCTTAAATTATTTTTCTGATTGATGTTTTTTAGAGTGGTTCATTTTAATGGGTGAGGTTGTTAACCATGTACCCGACCCTCCTTTACTCGAGTTTGGAACCGGGTGGAGTTTATTTGTGGTGTACTGCATTTCTATAACAATTCACGATAAAAAGAGGTACCGCACGGTTTCTGAGTAACCAGTAGCTCTAGATTTATTTTTAATGTATCACATGTATCCTGACGAAATATCCAATATACAACTGAATATTACTCCATCAAGTGTGGTAACTACTAGTAATATGACGTGATATCGAACAAAAGAGCGAACAGAAACTTACTTACTTACGCCTGTTACTCCCAATGGAGCATAGGTCGCCGACCAGCATTCTCTAACCCACTCTGTCCTGGGCCCTTCTTTCTAGTTCTATCCAATTTTTCTCATGTCTGTCTCAATTTCCCGGCGTAATGTGTTCTTTGGTCTTCCTCTTTTCCTTTGGCCTTGAGGATTCCATGTGAGGGCTTGTCTTGTGACGCAGTTGGGTGCTTTCCTCAATGTGTGTCCTATCCACTTCCAGCGCTTTCTTCCTCCTCTGGGATCTGGTTTGTTCTTCCCCATAGTAGGTTGTTGCTGATAGTGTCTGGCCAACGGATCCGAAGTATTTTGCGTAGACAGCTGTTAATAAACACTTGTATCTTCTGGATGATGGCTTTCGTAGTTCTCCAAGTTTCCGCCCCATACAGTAGAACTGTTTTCACATTTGTATTGAAAATTCTGACTTTGGTGTTGGTTGACAGATGTTTTGAGTTACAGATGTTCTTCAGTTATAAAAATACTGCTCCTGCTTTTCCAATCCGTGCCTCCACGTCTGCATCGAATTCACCATGTTTATCAATGATGCTGCCCAGATATGGCCTTTGCATCTTCCAAATCTTCTCCGTCAAGTGATTCGATTGTTGCACGCTGTGTTGTATCGGAGCAAATAGAAACACCGATTGAAAATGCCCTACTCTTTCAACGTTAGGTCTACTGCAGTATATTTAGGTTTCATACCATTTTTACCCGTTTTTCTCATGCTTGACACAACACACAAGTAGTAACGGTCTTTTTCAATATTTTAGTACCAGTTTATATATAGCTACCACAGTATCTTAAGGATCTTGAGAATGTTATTTAGTAAGTTGAGAGTAATACTCCCAGTCAATCAATTATTTATGATTAACGAATGACCTGACACAAGTAAGCATCAGCACAGAGAAGTGAAACCGACAAGGAAAACAACGAGAGATGAAACAATAGTGGCAAAAATGATAGTAAGAAAGACAACATATGGAATATAGTTGGTTGGCAACAGAATGTATAAATAAATATTGAAACGCAAGTTTTAGAGGAAGATAATAAGTAAATGAAATTGAGATACTGAAATCAGTCTTGACCCAAGTTGTCTGGCCTCATAATAATCCTTTCATTCAAAAACCGACGTTTAGCAGCCAAAACGTAGGACTACTGCATAGTATATTTTGCCTCTGATAGATAAGGAAGATATCTTGCCTATCCGATAGGTGGAGTGGGTTTTTTGCATTTGTCCAGTGATTTCGTCACTCATTAATGCACCATGGCTAATGAAACTTTTAAGATAATTGAAGTGGTCAACGTACTCGACAATGGTACAGTTTTCTTAAATTAGTTATTGACGGATATCAGTCATAAGGTAATACTCCGAATTTGGATGGAGACGCATGTAACAACATCTTTCCATTGTTACTCAAAGTATGTAGAAGAGCTCCACTAGTAAGAATTTTTCGATTCCGATGACAATTAGCTATAAGTTCTGACTCGACCAGAAGTATTCGAGCAGAGAGCCTGTACAATGTTAGTGTACTTCTTCGATACGCCTTTCAATGACAGGCACTGGCGCAAAACCTCATGATCAACAAAGTCGAACTCTGCCTTAATGTCAAGGAATACAACTGTAGTACGACGTCGAAAGGTATGTCTATGTTCTAGAATCTTCTAAAGGGTGAATATTTGGTCTACACATTGACGTACAGATGTGAACCAGTCTGTTTTCTCAGATTCGCTTTTCAAGAGCTATAATTAGACATCGAAGTATTATTGAGGCTAATATTTTAGACATAGTATTAGTTAAATTGATTCCTCTGTGATTGTCACCAGAGGATTTGTATCCTTTCTTATAAACTGGGACGACCGGCGATCAAGACCAGTCAGATGGGATCACGTCCAGTTCCAAGATTCAGTTGATCTTAGTGCTAGAACTTGACCAACATCCTTAAAAATTTAAGGGGTTAATTCACCAAGCCCTGCTGCTCTCCCTCACTTTAGATTACTTATAACCTTTTCAATTTCACTAAGAGTTGGAAAACTTATATCAGTTTGCCATTCAGGTAGCTTAGGGATAATGAGTAACTGAAATGTCTGAAGGTCAGCTGAACTGTTCTTTAAAACGTTCTGCCCATTGGTCCAATCTCTTGAATTGAGAACGGAAAATAGTCCTGTCTTTTGGCAAGACAGCTTCACTATCAGCCTTATGTTTATTACCCGTTTTCTTGATAGGTCTGAACAGTGGTCTACTGTTATATATCGCTGCTGCCTTTTTTTCTACCCACCACTGCTCACAGTCATTATGTAGGCCTTTTATCAGCCTATGTCCGAGCTTCCTCATCTAGTTCGGAGCCAGATGTGATGAATGTCCGAACATCTACCAGTTTTGCAGATGCCACTGAAATCAACTGGCTTAAGTTAATAATAAATATCACAGCTGTTTTCACAGCTTTTTGGATATCATGCCAAGCTACCTCAGAGCGAATATCACTTCACGGTTGACGAACACTTTCTTTAGTTGCTCCTGAAATATATTCTTAACCATTTCATAATAAAGTTGGACTCTAAGGTAAAACCGAAGAAAAGGTAATAGCGCGTACCACATCTTTCTGAGTTCTTATTGTCTCGTTTAGTCGAACAGCGCACATACGACAAGGAGGCACCAAATACATATACGCCACACAGATCTCATTTGATATGTGTGAGGGCTGTGATACTGCCCGGGTGCCCAAACCGAAGCAGGGCATATGCGACTGTCTATTGGAATCCAGTTTAACTGAACCTGTTCTACTTTTGAACCAAATTCTACACCCACACCATTGAGGTCACGATAAGGAGCAGTTGGGTCTCCAAATACTCAAAATATGAATCGTCCCGGTCTCTTATATTGACAAGGTGAAGCCAAATGAAAGACCTTACTTGGATCCTGTGTACGCGTTTTCAATGCGCATCTTACATCGATGGCGCGAGATCCTACAGTCCAAGATACAGAAGCCCGTTGTTCTATCTGACACAAGGTTCGAACATTAAAAGACCCAATATATAGCTTAAAGTGTGGTTTCAGGAGACCAGGAAGAACACTTTGTGAACGTAATTCAATAGCATTGGTGGCTCGTGGTGATTAAGATATACGAAAAAGTGTTGTGACTGTATGTCCGGCTTTTTATTACGTGATTTATCCACCAATCAAAATACGACTTACACTATCTTAGCACTGTCCCAAACCAATGACGTTCGACCGGTACGAGCAGCCTAGCGTCCTTATTGGTCCTATGTCCGCCTAGCCCGTCCACTTGAGTCCAGAACACCAATACCAGCTCCCACTATGCGAATCATATATTTCAAAAACTGGGTTTATATATCAAACAAACAGACCGCGACGCACCATAAAATAGGAAATAACATTTGTACACAATAAAGCGAAAAAGTGGCTGTGAACGTGTGAGGCAGTAGTTAATAAACTGAGCATAATTTAGGGACAGTAAATCGTATAATAATAAACTATAGGTCAAAATGAAGCTTATAATAAAAGGAATATAAATATACATAATTTCATTATTGAATAATTACACGATAGGAATACTTATAGAATATTAGCCCATTAATAGTCCTCGTAAGTTACTTGTAATTTAATCCTCACTAGAATATAACAGAAACTTTAGTCGTGCAGATGGAAGAATTATTAAGGGACAAGGGAAGGGTTTAATCGTCAACAAGATAATGTCTGTTGCTGATAGAGGTATGACGGCGGTTGTCACTTCCCAGTTACCAACACTGTAGAAGAACATTTCTTCATGAGAAACTTGAAAAAGAAGCTGAGTTAGTGGTGGAGTGTGACTGCGGAACCCAAGAGATAACTGCTTGAGGACAGTCTCTCATGACTTTTTAACGGAAAGTTTTTCGTGTGTTAGTTACGCACTAGAAAACGCCTTAACATCAGGGACGGAAATCCGTGGGGTAAAGTGAGGTGTGACATATCTAGAGTCAGCATTTTCTAACCACAACTTTTCACTGTGAAAAGCCTCTACCAGGGAAGTCCTACTCACTGCCTTCTCGTGGCGGGGGTGTTGTTTACGAAAATGAGAGGACGAAAAGCGAACGTCCGGCGCTTTAACCGGATCACAAACCAATGGTGCACATGGGCTCCAGTATCCTGCGGGAACAAATGGCGTATGAACCAATCGCTGGTCACCGGCTACCATGGGATTGCATCTCCTTACGATGCTCCACTGCCTTGTGGGTTAGACCATTTGGTCAAAGGCTCGGGGTGTGGTCCCCTAAGATAACCACCTGCTTCGGTTTGGGCACGCGGGCAGTATCACAGCCCACACGCAAACGATGAACTCTATGACTATGGCAACGAATTTTCTCGCTCCGATATATAATCAATCGATTCCAATAATTATTGCTATTATTGTCATTATTAATACTATTATTATTACCATTATTGTCATTATTATTATTATTACCATTATTGTCATTATTATTATTATTATTATTATTATTATTATTATTATTTTCCACATTGTTCTCCCTCTTTTATACTTATACAGCGGCTCGTCTTTGGTGGAAATTCGACTGTATCTAAACGTTCTCGAGTCACTGTCCGGTTGAAAATTGTATGTTACCACCGATTACGAGAACTGAAGCAGTTTTTCTGAAACCACGTGCACCATTCAAACTGGCTGCCTTCAACGTTCGCACACTAGTGCAGGTCGGACAACAGATAGGGCTGGCTATGTCTTTGGAAAGTCTTAATATTGATGTTTGTTGTCTATCCGAGACCCGTATTCAAGACTCTGGCGAAGTACTACAAATTCGATCTCCATCTGTCGCTTCGAAAAGCTTGTTTCACGTGCGCTTATCCGGGGACCCTGTGGCATTTTCGTCTGGTCTTGCTGGCGTTGGTGTCGCACTAGAGCTGAGGCAGCACTAATCGATTGAACCCCATAAACAGTCGGTTATGTGCTGTTAGATTAGAAAGTTCCATCAAAGTGAGAAGAAATCGGCGTGAGAAACGATGTCTTTTCGTCATCTCCGCCTATGCCCCGACAGATTGCAACCCGGATGCAATCAAGGATGAGTTTTACCACCAGTTATCTGTTCTTCTCCAGAAAGTGCATTCGACAGATATTGTAGTACTAGCCGGAGACTTGAATGCTCAGGTCGGGCGTCTAGGCACAGAAGAGAGCCGTTTAGGTGGCCGATGGGGACTCGTTGGTCGTAGGTCAGATAACGGGGACCGTCTACTGCAACTGTGCACAGACCACAACCTGTTTCTGGCTAGCACTAACTTTCGGCACAGTCATCGCCGATGTGCCACCTGGCGTCCTCCCTCTGCATCCCAAGCCTGGACTCAGATTGATCACATCGCGATCAGCTTCCGCTGGCGTGGTTGTGTAAAAGACTGCCGCTCCTTTTGGAGTACCTATCTGGACTCTGACCATGCCTTGGTCTGCGCCAATCTTGCCTTACTTTTCAGTGGACAACGAAGTGACCGCCATCAAAGGATTGATGTTAGCAAGCTGGTTGCAACTTCTGTTGCAAATAAGTATCGAACCAAGTTAGCCTCTAGGCTAGCTACCACTCCACCGAAAAGTATAGATGAGCATTGGTTACAATTGCTTGACGCCATGAAAATGGCGGGAACAGTTAGTTGTGGGTTTGCGAAACGTCCCGCTTTTAAGCACTGGGTTTCTTCTGGTTCCTTACAACTCATTGAAGCCCGTCGGTCTACTCCGGGTGACCGTGAGTTTGACCATAAACGAAGGATGTTACGTAGGGAAATTGGGCAAAGCTTGCGTAAGGACCGAGAAACCTGGTGGTCGGAGCGTGCTAATGAGCTGGAAGCAGCAGCTGCATCTGGTAACTATCGGAAGCTCTTCCAGCTCATCCGAGCCACTGGCAGCAAGAAGTCTGGTGTGAGTGAAACAATCTGCGAGGATGATGGGATGCCAATCACTAACATCCATCGACGTCTTAGACGATGGGCAGAATTTTTCGAAGGGCAGTTCAACTGGCCTGCTGCTCCGGCAACATCGGTCAGACTGTCCTGCCCTCCATGGCCGGTGACGACTGATCCACCAAACGAGGAGGAAGTCCGCAAGGAACTCCAACTCTTGAAGCGTTACAAATCACCTGGCCCAGATGACTTACCTCCGGCTCTTTTTAAAGATGGTGGTGACTTTTTGACTAAGGAATTGACGACGTTGTTTACAAAGGTTTGGGAATTAGAGAGTGTACCAACGTCATGGAATGAGTCGATAGTTGTCCCTATCTTTAAAAAGGGTTCACGTCGTTCCTGCAACAACTATCGGGGGATAAGTCTACTTCCGATTGCGTCCAAGCTATTGGCTTCCGTCATACTTCGTAGGTTGTTCAAAACCCGAGAAAGATTGACTCGCGAGGAGCAGGCTGGGTTTCGTTCCGGTCAAGGATGTATTGATCATATCTTCACCCTCCGCCAAATGTTAGAACATCGCCAAACTTATCAAAGGCCAACAATCGTAGTGTTTCTTGACATCAGGGCTGCCTTCGATTCGTTGGACAGGACTGTTCTCTGGGATTGTCTATTGAAGAAGGGTGTGCCTGAGAAGTTTATTAACATCCTAAAAGCCCTATATAAAAACACCTCAGGCAGAGTGAGGGCATACAACCACCTCTCTCTATTGTTCCATTCAAGTAGTGGGGTTAGACAGGGTTGCCCAATCTCACCATTCCTCTTCAACTTTGCCATCGATGACATTCTGGAAACAGCTCTGATGAATGTAAGTAATGGTGGTGTGGATCTGTTGCCTGGAGAAAGACTTCTCGACCTTGAGTATGCGGACGATATTGTCTTACTGTGCGATAATGCCCAAGGCATGCAATGCGCACTTAATCAGTTGGCAATCAGTGTCCGTAGGTATGGTATGTGCTTTGCACCTTCGAAGTGCAAAGTACTTCTAAAAGACTGGCAGGATTCCAATCCTGTACTCACCCTGGATGGTGAGCAGATAGAAGTAGTCGAGAAGTTCGTGTATCTGGGTAGCTGCATAAGTGCTGGTGGGGGTGTGAGTTATGAGATCAGTGCACATATAGTGAAAGCCAGAGCGGCTTATGCCAATCTGGGCCATCTTTGGCGCCTTCGTGATGTTAGTCTGGCTGTAAAAGGTCGGATCTACAACGCGTCGGTGAGAGCAGTTTTGCTCTATGCTTGTGAAACCTGGCCTCTCAGAGTTGAGGACGTTAGACGACTCTCTGTGTTCGATCATCGCTGTCTCCGAAGGATTGCTGATATTCAGTGGCAACACCATGTCAGTAATGCAGAGGTTCGGCATCGTGTGTTTGGGCACAGAGATGATAATTCAATTGTTGTCACCATCTTGAAACACCGACTTCGGTGGCTTGGACATGTTCTACGAATGTCGTCCCAGAGAATTCCACGTCGTGCATTATTTGCCGACTCTGGGACTGGTTGGAAAAAGCGGAGAGGTGGTCAGTGCATGACATGGTGTCGTGGTATGAAAGAAAGCTGCAAAGGACTGGCTTGTGTTAGTCCTTCACGACTCCCTGGTTGGCGTCTGAGAGATGGTGCTACACAGTGGCTAGAGACGTTATCAGATATGGCTCAGAATAGAAGCCATTGACGATCCTGCTGTAACCTTCTTTTACTTTCTTCATAAAAAGTGGTTGTGTCTCCCTTACTTGAAAGATTTCTTCTGATTGTACTTTTCCGTTCCATCGTTACGACCACACTACCTTACACCAATCTCTTCGTTATCGTTCTCTTTTGTGCTCCTTGGTTTTTGTTTCTTTTTTCTATCTCTTCGAAGTTTCATTGTTTTGTGTGGCGCATATATATTGGCGCTCTCTTGTACCAATATTTATGTGTTAAAATAAATAAATAAATAATACTGTGAAAAGGCAACATCGCTTCAGGATCTGGTTGTTCGACTCCGACCTCGGGCCTAAAGTTACTGCTTTTAGTTTTATCGTTCTTTAACCGACCTCCTGGCATGGTAAGACCTAAAGCGACACATGTCCCAGCCAATATAACAGAGCTGAGTCATCATGATTGGCAAGCATGACCACCACCTCAAAGTAGCAGCTACTGCCCGGCGGAACCTACATGTATTTCCTGTACACAAACCGTAATTTTACAATTTATTGATAAATCATCAAGCTAAGTTGCTGTATGATTGCTTTACTAGGACTGAAGTCAAGTCTCTGAGTGATCAATGAAATTAAAACCGTGACATAAAAGTAGTAGATTATGATTGTTTCAACAACTCTTTTTTGTTCGAAGTTGAAATGATCAGTTTTAATACAGGAAATAACTATTAAGTGACGTAAAGAACAGATCTACTCCCAAATAGATTCAAAATAAATTATGAATAACTAAAATTATATACGATACTATTAGAAAAACTAAAATCAATATGAGAAACTCGCAGTTGCAACTAAATCCATACTACATTTACGTAAATGCCTTGAAATTCCACTCACTTTAACGGATAGCTCACATATCAGAAACCCAAGTCGTTCCTCAAGCAGCTTGAGATCTACATCACCATTGTTGACTCGAGGCCATCCAAAAAAGATATCTAATAAACGAGGTAGGAAAATTACCACCATTTATGAAAAGTAAGAGCAGTTTATGAGAAACAGCAACATAACAATTAACACATACTATGTAGATAAACGTGAGGCTTAAAATTTGCTTTCGTTCGTTTCTGATTTAATTTCCCACTACTTGTGATATTTTTGCCTATATTGATATTTCGACTGTTTTCCCTTGATGGGGTGATATGAAGTGTTGCAAACGAATATACTGTTTGAAGTAAAAGCTATACAATATATTGCTTTACCAAAGCTATATTTCCTTACTCTTTACCCGAATCCGTTGGCCGTTCACATTATTAACCAGTTGTAAACTCAGTTCGCTTATCAAGTATTAATAAAATGAAAAGAACACATGTACCAAAGTGATTCAAACGTGACAAAAAACATTGTAGTTTAGAAAACAAACACCCGCTAAATGGACTGTATTTAGGTGTTTTCCAGAGACATTTGTTCATATATATTGTCAAGCAGTTTACTGGTCATCAACACAATTTAGAGAATACAAATACGGTTATGTTCACCTATTGTGAAAGTTATGAATGTGGTTAAAAACAAGCGATCAAACAACTTTTGGTTAATCTTTCCCAATAAACGAGATGACAGTCGACACAAGATCAAAAATCTTCAGTCCATACAAGGTAACCACTATAAATGTTATATATACAAGTGTGCATTTATGCAGTGAACGAGAAAGGGCGGAGATAAAAAAATGTATTTGAATACAAAATCCCTTAGTAAAATCTGAAAATCATACAGTAAATACTTCATCTGCAAAATGTTTAGCAATTGTTTTAGGCTTCATTGTTCGTTTATTTCCATATCAATCACACTCTGTTCTCGTTCGCTTCTCTTCAATCTTCTTAACCTTCTGCCTCCAGACATTACTACTTATATCTGTCGACATCAGTAGCACACACCACACTTACACTACTGTACACTTCCTAAAGCTCAGCATTCCAAAGCTTTAAGCAGATAGTACATACGTGAGGATGTTTGATCTCTAAATTAAGAACTGATATGAGTTTAGCTCCCAAATGCTCTGGTACAGCCGAGGGTGAAGAAATTCAGCTCGCCCTCTGGAAGTGCTCTCACATGTCTACGCTTATAAAGCCACTGTTAGAGAAGTCCTACTCACTGCCTTTCTTGTAGCGAGTATCGTTTACAAAATCGAGAACGAAAAACGATAATAGATAATAGAGATCGAGACTTAGCTAGACTATAATTTATGGACGACCTTTGAGCGATGTTGAACTGACCATAAGAAATCCAAACCACTCACTAGAGTTAAAGATTGATGTGAAGAGCCAGAGCTTAAGGTTTGCGAATTAGAATTAAGGTTTTTATCACAAACTGACTAACTAAAATCCCAAAACGTCATTTAGTTATATGGACGAATGAGTTTAACACTAAAATACAAGGGTCACGATCTCACACCTGAGTGGTTCACCTAAAAGTTATAGTTCTGCCATATAAATGTTCACAGAGAAGGAACTTTAGTACAAAGACGCAAACTAACCTAGCATAGAGTAGACGGAGATGCATAAATCAACCAATGATCGAGAGATGGAGAAATTCGGATTTTCAATGAAATTCATAGAAGTTACCACCACTACAGACAAAGCTTTATATAAATCCTTAAAAGAAAAGATAAGCGAAAAAATCGTTACTCTATTAAAATGTTTGTAAATATTTCGAGTTCCTTTCAGAAGCCAAGGAGAGATTTTCCATGCATGTACTTCACCTACAACAATGATTTACAAAAATAGACTTGCCCGTGAAAGTTGTGCAAGGCACAACGAACTGTGCGTCTGTATGGATTTCCTGTCGTTGACTCTTATTTACGACATTTAAATCTCGAAAACATATTCTGGCAGCCGCCTCACATTTTTCGACTTTGTTATCATAGAAGAGGTCCGATATATTTAAATCCTGTAATCATTCAAAAGGCCTTAGAGTGAAGAACTTACTTCGTAAGCTGCTAGAGACAAGAATGATTTAGGAAGCTGTACAGGGAAAGTCTCCCAAGTGAACAAACATTTATCAACAACCTGACATGGATTATTCATAAGAAACATACCTCTTTCAAAGATTTGATGACTTCCGTGTACTCTCCGTAACAAATTTTGTTATTTTCTCTGATGCCAGAGACAAAAGCCACTCTCTATTTATACGTAGTTTAATAATAACTCAAGTACGTGAATTTACCCCAGGTTCTTCAACATTACAATCACAAGACAAGAGAGAAGACAAATTCCCTTCGAAATTAACGTTGACCTTTTTGGTCATTAAAGGGGCAAACTAGGTATCTAATGTGACCCTAAACACATAACGCCGGTAAGGATTCAAGCCAGTTGCAAGGTCAAAACGCGTGCTCAGTGGTTCCAATATCTGTTGTCATCATTACAAGTTAATTTCGAGTACGTGATTCGTTTACGCCTTGGTTTTGTCGTTCAGCCCAGGGACGAGGATTTTAATTGCATTGAAAGCATTCATTTTTTATTGTTCTTTAGATTTTTACATCATTCGTAAACAATAATGACGACGACCTAAGCAACAGCTGCAGCTCGTTAACGTAGAGAAGGAAGAGCAGAGGGCCCAAGATGGTGCCTTGAGGTACACCACTTTTGACCGGCTTCCAATCAGATAGCGTTCCGTTGACCCTCACTCTCTGTCTGCGGTCACATAAGAAATTTCCTATCCACTCATGTACAGTACCTATTAGTTTCAGTTTCAGTTTCAGTTTGGGAAGGACATGAGGCTCGACGGCCTATGTTAGTCCTGGCAATGGTGGTCTCTCAGTTGATCCAACTTTCTTTTGAAAGAGTCGACGGATAGAGCCTCAACCACGTGCTGAGGTAGTGAATTCCACTCGTTGATTATTCGATGGGAAAGTCGATAGTCAGCTGACAAGTAATTTGTTCTCGGCTTGTGGACTTTTATGGAGTGTCCTCGTAAATTCTCTGTTTTGGAAGACAAGAAAAATGAGGGCATGTTAGGTGCAAATTTATCACTAAGCAATTTGTAGACTGTAATCAAGTCACCTCTAGTTCTGCGATAAGATAACGGGAAAAGGTTCAGCTTGGCCAGTCGAGATTCATACGGAAGCTTTGCTATTCCGGGAACCAGCTTAGTCGCCGTTCTCTGAACCTTTTCCAGAAGCTCACTGTCTTTTTTTAAGCAGGGGCTAGCCGCTTGTATGCAGTACTCAAGTTTAGGACGAACGAACACTGTATACAAAGTCAAAAACGTCTTAGCGTCGACATGACTAAAAGCCCTACGTATTGACCATAACGATCTAAAACTTTTGGCGACTATTGCACGGCAGTGTGCAGTAGTCTTTAAGTTTTGACTAACGATAACGCCTAAGTCATTATATGTCTGGACGACAGGTAGCTCAGTGTTATCCATCATGTATGTATTTGTGCCTTGATGACCGATATGCATCACAACACACTTGGAAGTATTTACCGGCAACTGCCATGTTTGAGACCATTCAGATAACTTCTTCAGGTCATTTTGAAGTTCTAAGCTATCACTCTTACATCGTATCGCTTTCCATATCTTGACATCGTCAGCATATAGCAAGACCGATGATGATAGGAGACAAGGAAGGTCATTTACATACAAGAGGAATAGCACTGGCCCCAAAACTGTACCCTGGGGCACTCCACTAAGCACAGTTTCCCAGCTAGATAACTTTGAGTTCACCCGAACTCTTTGTGGACGCCCAACTAAGAAGTCTTTTATCCATATCAATAAATTGCCTCCAATCCCGACTTTTCTTAACTTATATAACAGCCGGTTGTGCGGAACTTTATCAAAAGCTTTACTGAAATCAATGAAGGCGACGTCTACAGGTAGCTTTTGGTCCTTAAGAGCGCACCAGCTTTCACGAGCCACTAATAAGTTAGTGAGACAAGAATAACCTATTCTGAAGCCGTGCTGCTTCTCCGAGAGGATCCGGTTTTTATCGAGATACTTAAACAGCTCTTCCCTAATAATCTTTTCTAATATTTTAACAACCACACTAGTTAGGCTAACGGGGCGGTAGTTTTCAGGTTTGTGTTTCGTACCTGTTTTGAAGAAAGGACTTACTATGGCGTTTTTCCAGTCTTTCGGTAAGCGACCCTGCGTAACGGATAGGTTAAAGCGTGTACTTAAAGGGCTTGCAACGAAGTTAGATAATTCCTTTAGTAGCCTAGGATGTAATTCATCGGGCCCCGTGGATTTACCTATATCAAGCTTATTTAACAGACCAAAGACATCGAGTTCTTTAATGGTCACGCTATCCAGTTTATGTGTGGGGGGATCTGTATACGCTGACGAGAAGGGCGCTTCTATGGTATACACGTTGCTAAAGTAGTTCGAGAACGCTTGAGCCTTACCAAAGTCGTCCTCCACTAATGATGAAGCAGTACTGTCTCCCCATAGAGCAGGAATATTTCCTTTTCTCCTTGTCCTTTGGTTTATATAGGAATACAAGCGTTTAGGACATTCTATGGATTCCTTTACAAGTTTTTCTTCGTAAAATTTTCTACACTTACGGAGGGTCGAGGCACAAGTGTTCCGAGCCTTTCGATACTGAGATTTTGCCTCATCAGTCCCCAGTAACCTAAATCTATCCCACATCTTCCTTTTCTTACGGAGAAGAATACGGACCTCCCTACTGAACCATGGTGGAGAGTTTTTCGGTCCCTTTGGTATAGTCCAAGGGATGTGAGGTGTGGTAACTTTTAAGTATGAATTTCGAAATGCGTCCCAGGCCGTTTCAATGGAGGACTCTGGGTCTATTGTCCAATCTATTAACGATGCTGAGTCCATGATGGCTGGTATGTTTGCCTTCCAGACGTTGGGTCTGGACTGGACTGATGCGTCCTCATGACTGGCAGTTATATGGAAGTCGAAAGTTAAAACTGCGTGGTCACTTTTACCTAAGGGTGGCATATGTTGGAGGTTCGCAACATCATCCTCATAGTGAGTCAGTATAAGATCTAATAAGGATGATTCAGTGTCCGGATCGTACCTTGTCGCTTCTTTCACATGTTGTACTAGAGCACATGTGATAATCCCATCAACTAGTTCCTGCTCGAAAGAATTCTCCGACGATTTAATTCGCAGATTTTCCCAGTCTACCATAGGTGCGTTAAAGTCCCCTAGGATTAGACATCGAACACTTTGGAACCAAGTATTGAGACTGCTTAACAGGATCTCATTTGCCTCACAGCTTGGACTGCGATAGACCAAACCAATCAGCAGCTCTTGTCCCTTGCATTTTAGGCGAAGACTAACTAATTCACACGTCCCACTCTCATGAGATACACTGTCGACAATGGTAAATGGGATAGCATTCCTAATGAATAGAGCTACTCCCCCTCCTTTGCGCTTTTGTGTTCTGTCGGCCCTTACTAACGTAAAGCCCTCGAAATCAAGTTCTATACTATCTATAGCCTGTGTCAGCCAGGTTTCTGTTACTGCGATTATGTCTGGCTTTGTAGAGCCAATCTGTACACCTAGTTCCGATCGCTTATTAAGTAAGCTTCGTGCATTGGTGTAACAGATCCGAAGCCTGTTTAAGTGGCTTCGTGTTTCACCCAGAGTGGCTTCGGCATCATTCTCTGTCGAAGTCTTACAACCCGAAAATTTACAATTTTCAGGTCTTTTTCGCCAGCGTCTAACCTATGTTGTAGTTCTTTCTCGGCTTCCCGTCTTTTAACACGGTCTGCCAACGGTAGGTCCTTTCGAATAAAGACTCCTGAACCCTTTAATTTGTGCCCATTTTGTAAAATTTGGTCACGTTCGTTCGAAGAGCCGAATACTACTTTAAGCAGTCTGGAATGATTTGGTTTCGAGTCCGTTAGACTCCCTAGTCTGTACACCTTTAGCAAGGTGACCCCGGTCATATTTTGAGGCATGAGTTGATTAAGCAGCTGCCTAATCAGTACAATGTCATGCTCAAAACGAGCTTTAGGTTCAGAGCTATCGCTCTCCTTGATTCTATGAAAAATAGCTGATCTGTCGCTATGATCAGCTTTCGCTTTTTCAACCACTTTTACGGGAGCAGGTTTCCCATTTGTATCCCTACTTCTCTTCCTCGTAACCTTTACCCATTCCTCAACGGTGCTGGTAGAAGCAATAACAGTTGCGTCAAACTCAGTGTTGGGTTTTGGGGGGTTGCCGACGACCTGATGGGTCGTGTTATGTTTACCGTTTGAAACCGATCGAGCCTTGCGATTGCGGCTTTCAACAGGATAGCGACAACCCGGAGGTTGACAACTACTTTTTTTACACTGTCCGGTCATTTAAGAGGGGTTCTTTTTTTAAACTGTGAGGATACTCAGAAAAAAACAAAAACAATTATCAATGACCAAAAGTGAAGAGCTGTAGATTGCTAGGACCAAAAGTACTAACAGATACAGTAGAATAAGAGGTACTCAAGAGTACCAACGACAAAACAGTAAAAACGATACTTTAGTCAAATTCTTTAACTGAAATAAATTCAATTAAAGTGAAAACAGTAGTCTTGATACGTAATAAACGATCAAAACAAACAAATTTACTCAGCGAGGAAAAATAACACTGTCCTTTTTAAATAGCGCGGCTGGTTCCGAAGCTCGTGAACTTCTGCATAAGACCTACGTGTGAAACCTTGTCAAACGCTTTGCTAAAATCTATGAATATCACGTCGACAGACAGACCGTTATCTAGGGCTGCTGTCCAATCCTCCCTCGCAATAAGCAAGTTAGTCAAGTATGAACGCTTGTTACGAAATCCGTGTTGCTCAGGAGCTAACAGATTGTGTGGCTTAGCAACCTAACCCGAATTAACTTTTCAAGTAACGTAACGACTATGCTAGTTAGACTGACAGGCCAGTAGTTAGATACTATCTGTCGCTGACCGTCCTTAAATATAGGACTAACTATAGCGTTCTTCCAATCTCTAGGGAGTTGAGCGAGTGAAAGGGACATGTTGAAGAGTGTCGCAAGCGGTTTTGAAATAATGTCCGCAAGAGATGACAGCAACCGTGGATGTAACCCGGCGGGGCCTGTTGTCTTACCAGGTTTGAGGTTAGTTATCAACGGAAGGACAGTTTCCTCAGTCACCTGTACAGATTCAATGGTTGGTATCTCGGTGTGAGTGGGACAAGTATTTGTTACAATAAACGTAGAGAAGACTTCGCTAAAGTAGTCTGAAAAAGTCTCAGCTTTTGCTCGATCTGATTCAGCTAGTAATTCTGAATTTTCATGTAACAGTAACAGAGGAATACCATAACTACGTTTCGTATGCCG